GCTGGTATAAATATACGAGTTTATCATGGATTTCTTCGTCTGCATAAATTTTGGAATCTTATGGCAGTACTTCAATTAACTGGCAAAAAAGAGCCTCTATCAGAAACTGAATTAATATTTGAATAACTTTATATCCATTTCCCGAAATGATATGACGATATACGAGTAAGACGGGGAAAGAATGGGAGACGTTTACTGAAAGCCGCCCCGCCCCATCTAAGTCAGAAAGGCAACGAGTTGGGCAAACTTACATATTACACACAAACGTATTACATTGCAGACTTTGTAACACGCGAAACAAATATTTCAAAAATAATTAACGTGAGAAAATGAAAAACTTACTAAGTGCTGGGTGCATATTTGTACTAATGATATCGCATGATGTTTTTGATAGGTTTAGGTACACTTTAGGTACTGCGATTTTCTCCATTTTATTGCATATCAGTATTGTTTTTACTGTGTGGAGGCCGTAAAATGTCGCCCCGTGTAATCAGTCAAAGATATTATAATTTCGATCCTCGAAGATCGGCATTATTGTTGTGTTGTGGTATATATAAGTTCCTTTAATTTGATCTATTTGTGCTGTATATTATCTGCTTTTTAAATGTGTCATTTGAGTCTTGGCTGTGAAATGCAGGCTTCATAACCACTGATCCCTTTTCAAAATTCTATTTTATTAAGGTCCGCCCATTGTCTTCTTGTTAAACGCACATGCATTATTTGCAAGAATTCGTCGCTTTTCATGGAATGCCATATATATGTGTCAAATTGAAGGTTCTATTTTTACCACCGTATGAACTCAAATTTCACCATTTTCATCTCTATGTTGAATTCTGCTTTGAACTACCACTTTGACCATGAATAGGCTCAAACAATGCGGGCCTGTGGCGGAGATAGGTCTCTGTAAGCCCTATCTTTTGGCCATTTTCAAAAGAAAACCTCCACATTTTTATTTGTTTATGTTAAAGGAACATCATTTTTACGATATTCACAAAATTGTTTATATATCAACTTACACGAATATGTTTGATGTACATGTATTTAGTTATCTATGTTTAAAATTCTGTATGTGTGTTAATGATATATGTTGTATATAATTCATTATGTTTAAAATAAATAAGGTCATTCACTGACCATTTAATCACATATGGCATTGTTTTTCCTTACACCGGCCGTCATAAATCTAAGCTATGTTTTGCATAGCGATTTTTATGTAAGCAGGTGAAAGGAACGGATAACGGGTGCTAGACCATTAAAGACTGTCGGCCAATGAAAATCGTTAATATCCCTTAAAGAATTTCAGCCAATGAAAATCGTTAACCCTTATCAGCACGCCGCTCCGAGAAACCGGTTTAAACCAGTTACGATTGCGGCCGGACACTCTAAACAAAGAAAATTTTGCATTTTAAACCCACCACCATCCCCAACTCCACACTTTATAAAAATTTACAAACATAATCTGATACCTTTAAGTATGCCTATGCTTCAAAATATTTTACTATGGAATTTATACTCAAACTTAGTTTGTATATAGCTTCAGGGTTTGTTTACATCCAATTTATGGTGTCATTTTCTAAGTCTTTATCTTGTTATATTAATGGCCATTTTCAAAAGAAAACCTCCACATTTTATTTGTTTATGTTAAAGGAAACATCGTTTTTACGATATTCACAAAAATTGTTTATATATCAAACTTACACGAAATATGTTTGATGTACATGTATTTAGTTATCTATGTTTAAAATTCTGTATGTGTGTTAACCCTTTACCACATATATACGCGAAACAACGCACTTTCGATCCCCCCCCCCCCCTTTTTTAGACCTCAAATAGTGAAAAAATGTCCTATTTGGGTCCCAAACATAAGTTTTCGTTTGAGAAATGTTGCTTAAAAAATTGAGCACTTTTTCGGCGCCGCCCCCCATCCAAAAGATACATCAGGGGGTTGCCAGAAGGGGGATGTGCCCCCTTCTGTTAGGGGGTTTGAAGGGGCGGAGTCCCCCTCATCGCCAAGAAAATTTTTGGACTTGTGAGAGAGGCTAAAAAATGACCCCAGGTCGATCATAATGTAACGTTTAACCAACGCTGAAAAGCCTTTGACTCTATCTCAATCCCTTGAGCAGTTGCAGCACTTTGAAATAAATTTGATGGAAAAAATCGAGGCAAAATAGTGATTTTTGGCAATTTTGAGATGTCCCCTCGTTGCCATGGCAACAGGAAATTTAAGGCTGAGCATGTCGTTACAAAGACAATGGTCCAGTCAACATTTGTGCCAAGTTTGATTAGTATTGAAGTATTTTTCATAGTTTCATAGCAGTTTGAACTTGTAACAGGAGGCTTTTCAGTGAAAACGGCCATTTTTCACAATATGCTCATGGGGGAAAGGGTTAACTAAAAAAATTATAAATGTTACAAAACAACAATTTTTCACCAAAATTAGGTGAAATACGACATGTTAACATGGAAAAACTAGTTTTTAGGTGATTCCAAAGTTTTTCATCATTTTTTGTTAACCCTTTACCACATATATACGCGAAACAACGCACTTTTCGACCCCCCCCCCCCTTTTTTTTAGACCTCAAATAGTGAAAAAATGTCCTATTTGGGCCCAAACATAAGTTTTCGTTTGAGAAATGTTGCCTAAAAAATTGAGCACTTTTTCGGCGCCGCCCCCATCCAAAAGATACATCAGGGGGTTGCCAGAAGGGGGATGTGCCCCCTTCTGTTTAGGGGGGGTTTGAAGGGGCGGAGTCCCCCTCATCGCCAAGAAAATTTTGACTTGTGAGAGGCCTAAAAATGACCCCAGGTCGATCATAATGTAACGTTTAACCAACGCTGAAAAGCCTTTGACTCTATCTCAATCCCTTGAGCAGTTGCAGCACTTTGAAATAAATTTTGATGGAAAAAATCGAGGCAAAATAGTGATTTTTGGCAATTTTGAGATGTCCCCTCGTTGCCATGGTAACAGGAAATTTAAGACTGAGCATGTCGTTACAAAGACAATGGTCCAGTCAACATTTGTGCCAAGTTTGACTAGTATTGAAGTATTTTTCATAGTTTCATAGCAGTTTGAACTTGTAACAGGAGGCTTTTCAGTGAAAACGGCCATTTTTCACAATATGCTCATGGGGGAAAGGGTTAATGATATATGTTGTATATAATTCATTATGTTTAAAATAAATAAGGTCATTCACTGACCATTTAATCACATATGGCATTGTTTTTCCTTACACCGGCCGTCATAAAACAGTATTTATATAGACGTGTTTAACTAAGTAAAACTGTTACATTTTGGGGGCGCGTCCATTTTCTATTTCATTCAATTTAAAACATAAGCTTCTTGTCAGCATGACGGATTCTTATTGAAAGTGCTTCCTCCACATGCCACAGGACATGTGTACCTAAGTTTTATTTCCTTAGGAGACACTGGGACAGTGTCCATGTACCAATGACAACTAGGTACACATGTCCAGTGGCCTGTGGGGCAAGATTCGTCAGGAGGGACCTAGTAAACTGTGATCTTCGAAAGAAACACCGAATTCTGGGGGCAACTATTTTCAAAGAAGAAGCAATCAATGAGTGTGTAAATCAAGTGTGTAAATTCGGGTGACGTCAGGTCAGTTATTCCTAAGCACCGCCTTCGCTTTTCAAATCATTCAGTAGATATAAACAATGGGAATGAAGAAAACATATCAACTAGGACAATTAAGAACATTATCAATATGGCTTTGCCAAGACTTAATTAATTAATTGATTGATTAATTAGTTAAGGTTTTATTAATTGTAATACCCAATATTTTTTCTTCAGAGCTACAAACAATTTGCTCTGTTTTACATGAAATACAAGGATTACATTCATAAATAACATTTTGCTTGTATTTTGAGGAAATATACATGACCTTAGTTTTGTTAGCATTGATAGACATGTGATTTATTTCACACCATTTGTTGGCATTAAAAATATCATGAGTAAGAGATTCAACTACTCTGTTAAGTGGTACATCAACGGTTGAAAGGGTGGTGTCATCAGCAAAGATATCAGTTTCTGTTTGCCTGCTTTTTAAATTTGTCTTTTGACGTCTTATCTGTGATATGTAGGCTCCATAACCTCTGATCCCCTTTCAAAAGTCCATTTTATTTAGTTCCGCCCATTGTTTTCTCGTTTAGGGCACACGCATTTGTTTTTACTTGGGGACCATATGCCGCTTTTCATGGAATGGCACTACTGTGTCACATTGAAGGTTCCATAATAACCGCCATATGAACACATCTGCGGATGTTTCAAAATTCAAAATTGTACCAGTTCATTTCAAATGTTAAATTCTGCTTAAGCCGGTGATAGCGTGTGTGGACGGTAGTTTGCACCATGAACAGGCTCAATCAAACCGAGTCTGCAACATTTTCAATTTTGCCGTGTTGGGGTTTCTTTAGGGATTCGAGGATGTTTTTATTAATCCAGTTTGGTTGGGTGACATTCTTTACTTGATTCATCTGTTTGGTGCATGTTTTTCAAGGAGAGACAAAAATGTATCAGTTTCTACAGATACTACTTTTGACCAGGGTTGCTCTGACAATTCGGTTAAAAATTGATTTTCATCAAAGTGTTTGAGAGACCGGAAAGTTATTGTCTTATGCATGGGACCTTTAACACTGATGTTTGAAAGTTTGCGTGTAGATAAATGGGAAAATGGTCGCTAATGGATCAGGAAGGTACAATTACACCGACTATATTTTGAGGCATGTTTGAAAATACATGATCTATCAATGAAGCAGAGCTTGAAGTTACTCTGGTAGGAGATTCAACAAGCTGAGATAAAATTCACAGACTGCATTAGATCTAACCATGATTTAGAATAATTATCATGCTTCAAAACACCATAGTTAAAATCTCCAATAACAATACATTCTTTGTCCTCTTAATATGGTTTTTCCAAGGATATAGCAAAATTATCAAGCCACTCAACTTTAGAAGATGGTGGTCAGTATACATAACACAATAATAACGATTTACATATAGGATGTTTAAGTTCAAGCCAAATGGATTCAATAAAAATACATTCTAAATCAGAACAGTGTAAAAAGATAAACAGTCTCTAACATAAATAACTAAACCGCCTCCATTGGAAGGCCTGTCCTTGCGAAAAAGTGTAAAATTGTCCAACTAGTTCAATGTCTAGAAAATTAAATAGGAATGTTTCACATAAACAGAGTATATCAATCTTTTGTTTTGAAATTATAATTTTGAGTTCGTCGTCTAATTTTGAGTGTAAATAGTGAATGTTAAGATGCAGTATGTTCAACCCTTTTTTAGTGTACCAAGATTTACTATTTTTATTTGAGTCATAGTTTTGTCATTTACAATTTCATTAGTCAAATTAACAATGTTTTGTCCATATGGAAATGAATTACTTTCACAAATATTTAACGACGGCGATCCCAAGAATTCTGATTCCTCAGCCATGATGTTGGTAATGGCATGTAGACCATGTTCTTGTCTCTCCTCCCTGTAAACCTCCCTTTCTTAAAATGAGACTTGTTGACCATTGTGTTACTGTTATGGTCATCAGATGGCATCGTAGATATTCCTAGGACATAGTTTATAGCTTTCCTCGTGTTTGTTCCAAACAGTTTTCCACCCTTTCTATTTAGATGTAAATAGTCTTTATGCAGCGATTTGTCTGGAGTACCATGCAGGATAAAGTCAGAGCCATGGTTGATATAGTGGTGACCACCATCTGTCGGTTGTTGGTTTCAGAGATGATGGTTTTGACAAGCTTGTCATTTCTTCTAGGTAGGATTGAAGAAATGATTACATTTCATGTATTTTACATTTTGAGTTGATGGTTTTTATAGTGTGTATGGTATCCTTAAGCTCATCAACTATGTACTGGCTGGAATTTGCATCAGATATATTATTTGTGCTTACATGAAGTAATATTACATCTTTATTCTATATTCCATTTGAATCTGTATCATTTATTAATATGAAGGTATTTTCAATTGTAAGCACTCTTCCTACAGAGTGCATCTCGATGTTTACTTACAAATTAAAGTACATGGGGCGACAAAATGGTCAATCATGGGAATTAATTTCGACGTTCCGTCTCGATTAATTTCCTATAATTGACCCTTGTTGTTACCCCATGCGATGATACCAGCCGGTAAAGTCATGTATATATTCTATAACTAATACATAGTAGTGAAAATCTAAATTTTACAGCGCTATCGTGTAATTAAGTTGAAAAAGGTCAAATACTACAGTAGAATTACACATTACTTGGAGCATTGTTCTTGTCTTTCTATGTCAATTGTTCTTTAGACGTAGTTGATAAAGGTAGATAAAATGTATGTGTCTACAATCACAATTACTCATGATTAGGCACAATATTGAATACTTAGACCTTGTTCAACTCCAGTGAGGTCCAAAAGCTTAAAAAGAATAACATCTAGATTTCTTACAGAGATCGGCTGGGACACTTAAGACAGAAAGATTTTATGCTTTTCTCAGCAAAACGTTGGTTGCAACGTATTTCAATTCGTGGGTAATTTTTTTCACAATTAGAATAATTTTTATGAAAAATGAAAAACAGAGTGAGGCAATGAATAAAAATTCTGCTCAGTCTACATCAAGGGAATATTAATCTAATAAAATTATTCCTAGTCCCGTCATGTCAAAAAAAAAACTCAGTGGAGTCTCTTCAATGTCTTCATTTCTAAATATCAATTTTGTTTTATAAAATCATTCTTCTTTTGGGTTTGTAGGAGTTTCACTATGGTAATTTATCTATAAAAGTTCCTCTTCCATTCTGCAAGAAATCTCTCCCAGACGTTATAAAGTACTTGATTATACACCAATCGTCATCTTTGACAGATTCTACAGCGTACTTTATCTCTATCTACGGCGACCAGCTACTTGCCCAGCGTCATCAAGCGTTGAGTTGTTGCTATTTCTTTCTAGTGGTGGTCTTCCCGGAACGCTACCGTTGTTGCTATTTGCTTCTTGTAGTTGTCTTCCCGGAACGCTACCGTTGTCAGGATAGCTATTACTCGATGCAGAACCGTATGCCCCTTTGAAAAAAGCACCAGATAAATTGCTTTACTTGACATCACTGTGTGATATTTTTTAATATTATTCATACAAGAACTACGTCTTAAAAAGCAGAACAAAATTAGATAAGGCAATGTGACGTCCCCGACATTTGTACTATGAAGTTGCTTTATTCAGACGTATGTTTTCACCGTAAAAAAATGCCTTTTTAGCATTATTTTTGCAACGAGTACTTTTACAGTTTGCTATTTATTTTAAAAAAAGAAATGTTCGTTTCTATTTATTTTGACACCCATTAGCGCATATTGCAATGTAATTATGCTGCGATAGCGGTACTACTGTGCTTCAAACACAAATTTCAGCTTGTTAAGTTTAATACCCTATCCTAATGTAAATTCAGATTAAAGCTAGAATTATCCTGACATACACTATTCTAAATTGGAAATATTTCCTGTCTAATAACTTGTTATTCGTGAAATCACTACAGAACAGAACAAAACATATTATCTTTTAAACAGACTATAACTGTTCGATGACACTTCTCAATATGAATTGATAAGTACGAGTATTGTTACCTGGAACAGTTTGATGTAAGGTATTTAGGTTGTGTGGTTTTGTTACCGATGTATTCCACAGCGGTGGCATTTTCCCGAACTTTACCGTTAAGTCTTGCAATAATCCCACAAGGTCAGAATTTGGCTGAAATTGTTTTATAAAGTTATATACAACATAACAATTATCACATCTCCAGATTCACAACATTATTGTTAAAGTTATATTTCACCAATCAAATACTGTATAGAACTTTCAATAAGTCACAAAATCTTCGGACATTGTAATTCATTAAGGGTTTTAAGTAAAATAAAATATAGGTCTGTCGAGAATTAGAAACCGATGTCGGTATTTACAAGATAGGAAAGAAAGTGATAAAAAAAATTTCTTACATGATTCCATTCTGTAAGGAAGGGAGTTTTTATTAGCCCCGTCTTATCAACATAATAACAATTTTCATTTACCGCCATATTGGAAGCTGGTTTTACAAAAACAATAGGTGCCTGGTAAGGGTGTTGGTCCATCAAATATATACACAAAGGGGTATTGTATATAGAATCTAGGAACATAAAATAACTGGTTTCACAAAAACAATAATGTACCGTTTGGAAATAAAAGTATAAATATTATTCTAGGTAGTAAAGGTATTACTAAAGTGTCTTATATTCATTTACTACCAAAACGATTTCTATGAACAGAAACGATATGCTTTAATATTTTCTCGTAACATTGTATTACAAAAAAAGTACATTTAATGTTATTTATTCATGATTTTCAAGTAGATAAACGAAGGAAAATGTCCTCTTGGCTCTTGGAAATACAACAGTACTTGGATAGCTCTTAAGAAAGTAACAATTATTAAAACTCACTCACGCGATGAATATTTAACATAGGGTGTCACGGTTAGACAAAAATGATAACTATTTAAATGGCGACCTTGTAACTGTGTTAAACGTTAACCAGCCGTACTAATAGCATTCTTAGAATTTCAATTCTTTAACACAATATATGGCAATTGTGTCCGTATTTTGTTGCATTCAAATACATATTTAGATATAAAATCATATAAGTAACTTTCTTCCATTAGGATCTTACCGTACTCGATCAGATCGGAAAAAAACATTGTTGAGTACAACTAAATTACAAATTGTCATATTGTATTGTAAAAAACTAAGGTAAAATTTAGAATCAATTTAAAAATGTTTCACCTCTTTGTCAACCTCGATTACCAGTTATTGAATTTTTCTAAACGGCTTTTAGCGTGACAACCCTAATGTCTGCCTAATGCATGTAAATAATGGATGTCTTACCCTGAATTATGACGGGTATTGTTCCACTTAAAGAAAGAATTGGCTTAACTGTCCCGTCTGCAAAAGCTGAAATGCCAGGAAAAGTATCAGTAGTAAGTTAAGCAGTCAATGTCAATGGTTAAAAACACAGCTCATGATGAAAAAGAGACAATTCCATTTAGTTGTGTCCGATTAGATACATTTTATCCTTTAAAATATAGACAGGTTACCTCTTTTATGAACGCTTTTCGTAATGCAAACAATTCTTTTTACAAATTTGCTGATCTTAAATCCAGTCAGAGCGTTGAAGTATTGATAACGGTTTTGCCGGTGTTATTGAATATGTTACACTTAATAATTATTATTCTCACGTATTATTCTCTCGCACAGATTCAATAAAGCCAAATTTGCGATTCTCAACAAAGATTATAACTGTATTTTTCAAAACAGTTAAGAGTGTAAAACTTGTTGTGTCTTTCTTTTTTTCCATTTAGATTAAGTTTACATCTGGCGCAAAATAAAAGAATTTGTTACTTATATCTTACACACGATAATTGCTATTGTTTTGGTACTTAAATAATCGTAGCACGTCATAGCGCGTCATAACGCGTCACAGCACGTCAAAGCGCAGCATAGTATGTCAAAGCACGCCATATTACGTCGTAGCGCGTCATCCTTTCGACGGTCATCCGCTATACCCGTAGGACGGCCAAAGCGTAAGAAAACGTATCGAATTTTTACATTTCTGAAAGCCAGTCTTATTTTACGACCTGACGTCCATAGCGTAGTAAAACGTATCAAAAATATACCTTTCTAGAATCCGTAGCGTAAATCAGCGTAAAACTTGAATTTTGTGTATGCAAAACCGTAAAACCCTCGTTTTCGCACAATCTGGTTTTTTAATGTGTTTATGAAAAATCAAAATATTACGCTATGGCTGTTCAACAGCATTCGATAAACAACAAAGCCATACCGTATAACAATGTTAATATTACGTTCATCTGCAATAAACAGACTCGCAATCCTTGTTTTGTAAAACAAGTTCTGAACGTTTTAAAGTTATTTACCGATAAAGCCCATAAGAATACCCTATTGAGTAAAACGTCCACAACGTTTTAAAACGTAATTACTGAAAATCAATGAAAATCAATTTTTCTCGGGAAGGGTGATTGATATTATGCTTTTCAATGTGAATTTTTTAAGTTCAACTCATTTTTTTACAAATAAGAGAACTGCTTACAGAAACTCCGTTTGATGTATCAAGCAATGCATTTTAAAATACCATACCATTTAGAAGATTTTCTTCAATTAATTTTGAAATCGATTTGATTACCACATTTATTAAAAAGTGTACTGTATATCTAAACATTTACTATATCTGTCAATAAAGGGCACTATACAATTAACATATTTGGTGTTTTTATTTGAACAACATTTAACAAAATGAAATAAATGAAAGGTAAACTTTAAAAATTTAGTCATTTAAAACTAAATTTTGGTGGCCTTCCTACGACAAAACAGTAGTGGCTTTCAGGAAGCCAGAATCTTATACCGGTTGATTACGTTATAGTCTTCTATGACTATAGCGCCCGGCTTTTGAGAAGTCGATATTCGGTACGTTTTATTACGCTATGGCCGTCGAAAGGATATCACATCCTAGCGCATCATAGTATGTCATAGAGTTTTAGCAAATCATTGCTCGTTATAGCAGGTCATAGCGCGTCATATCGCCTCATAGCAAGTCATAACGCCTCATAGCGCATCATATCACTCACCTTGTTCTTCAAATGATCCCCTCATATCTGTAAAGACTTCAATAATTGTAATAGCATCTCGCTTGGTTTTAACTGGGTCCATATACTGTAATAAAGGTATTATAATACCATAGCAATAGAATAAGTTAATTCATGTTTTATCATAATTGGGAGACATTTCTGTTGAAAATGTGTCGCAGTTAAATCGTATACATATACATGCACAGTGCGTTAACTGGATTGCAAGTATTAGTTACCTGCACCCCAGAGCATGCCCATGCATAGGCTTTTTTTTTTTGCTGGGTTGTGACAGCAGAAAAAGGGAAAGCGACAGAATATCATATTCAGATGCTCATTCATTAGTTCCTTTTTTCTGGGGTTTTCATATTGTGACAACAAGGAACGTGTTGTTATGTTTGACTATGATACAAAAGAGAAAGAACATCAAAACAATCGACAATCTGATTAATACTTGGGGGCTATGTACAAATCAGATACCCTCTTCCTATTACTTGTATCATAAATTGGGGATCTTTCTATTTAAAATGATACGCCCCCCCCCCCCGTACGAATCAGATAGCCTCGTGTTTCGATGCTCTTATTACTTTATCACACACCTGTGCCGATTTTGCGACTCGTAAAAACAGTATTGCAAGGTCGTGCATATATTTAGACGTGAGGTCATTTGCGCTATACAAACATAGTGTAAAGACGCGCTAAATGTTAGTGTTCCACTTAGCCTAAGAGCCAAGGGCCATTTAATCAAAATTTTTGTCCAAATCTGAAACTTACACCAGAGCAAGTATATAGTCTCTCCTTTACAAAAATTCAAATCTTACAAAATTTGGCTTTCACAACCCTTCACAATCCAAGATGGTGTCCAATATGGCCGCCGATTTTAAGCAAAACTGATATATATCTTATTTTGGTAGATTTTGTGGCTAAAATTATGCCGCTTTCGATCAAAGTTTGTTTAAACATCTCTGAAGTAATTTATTTATATGTTAATAACGCTAAAAAAATAACTTTTAATGGTTTTTGTCTTACGATTTTCAAAAAATCAAAGAAAAATGCCCATTTTTAGCATATTTTTTTGATATTGTGTTCCAAATCTAACAAAAGATATTCTAAAAAGTTACTAAAATCCTTATATCATTTTTTATTTTATAAAATTTAAGTGTATTATACATATTTATTGTAGAAAATGTAAGAAAGCTCATAATATATACCTGTGGTGGTGTAAATGCACTAAAAACTCGGGGGAAAAATTGTATAAGTACATTTATTTTATTTATTTGTTTTTCTGTTTTATTTTTATGGGTTTGAATACATATATTCACTATTTCAATACACTGTGTATGGGTGGGGTACATCAAATAAAAATGCCCATTTTTTACATATTTGTTTAATATTGTGTGCCAAATCTTACAAAGGATATTCTAAAAAGTTACTGAAATTCTTATATTATCTTTAATTTTATTAAACCTACAGTGTATTATACATATTTATTATCAAAAATGTAAGAAAACACATAATATATAGGTTTCATTTATGCTTAAAGTGTGTGGGGTAAATGCACCGAAATCTAAAAAAAAAAAAAAACTGCACAAGAAGATAAATGTTATTGATTTGTTTTTCCATTTTATTTTTATGTGTTTAAATGCACTTATTGTCCATTTCAAAACATTTTGTTTGGTTTTAAGATATTTTTGTCTTCCGTAAGATATGCAATCGGAACACCTCGGGCGACTTCAAGACGATTGTAAGATATGGTGGGTGGGGTACATACTTAATACAATATTTAAAAATAGCTACATGAAGCTGGTTCCATGACCACATTTGACATTTTCCTTTTTCCTTAAGCAAGTTTTACACATCATCTGGAATTCCGTGGTTAGAGGCAAAATCATTTTTTTAAGTTTTAAAGGTTATACCCATTCATATATAAAAAAGCCAAAATACAAGTATTTGAGCCTCAAGGTCAAGGCTAATTTTTATCTATACTGTAGGCGCGTCATTGAAAAATGATTCGTGACGATAATGGTGATACTGATCATGATGATGATGATGATGATGATGATGATGATGATGATGATGTGGTGGTGGTGATGATGATGGTGATGATGATGGTGGTGATGATGATGGTGGTGATGATGATATGGTAACATTGATGGTTATAATAATAATGATGGTTGTGATGATGATGATGATGACGATGATGATTACAATAATTCTTTAATAGACCTACGAGACTCCTATATTTGTATTTATTTTTTCTTTTCTTTTTCTTTTTTTTCCGATTTTAACATTTTTTTTTTTATATCGACCCACTTCAACAGTTTTCCTGGATAAATAACCATCAATTGTATCATAGTAGTTTGGGACCTTTTTGTTGAAAATGTGTCGGAGTTAAATCGTATACATATACACGCACAGTGCGTTAACTGGAGTGCAGGTAGGCCTATTAGTTACCTGCACTCCAGTGCATGCGCATTGAAAGGCTCATTTTTGCTGGGGTTTAAGCCCCCTCGTACAAATCAGATAGCCTTGTGTTTCGATGCTCTTTCTATTACTTACCAATTTCTTCACAGGTGAATCAGCGATGAGAGACAAATAATACTGAGATCAATTGTCACAGAACTACGGAATACCGTTAGGGCCATCGTGGTTATACGTTTAAATACAGAGGGCGACAATGCGACAGTGCGATGACGACAATACGACAGTGCGATGACGACAATGCGACAGTGCGATGGCGACAATGCGATAACACGAAAGTACGATGACGACAGAGCGATAGTGTTTTCGCACTGTCACCATCGCACTGTCGTATTGTCGTCATCGCACTGTCGCATTGTCGTCCTCTGGACTAGAAAGTCTTATAACGATGGCCCTAACGGTATTCCGTACAGAAATGAATTTCTTGAACTGATGCTCTCCCTATTGAGCTAAGTGGGCGGACATAACGTTACACCGTATAAGAATCTTACACTGGCTGTTTATCTAGCTCGAGGGTACCTGTGACGGCGGTAACGAGGCTCTGTACAGACAGCCGGTGTTTCATTCTTTTTCTTGCATATAACATCTTAATTATATTCGAAACAGAAATTATGAAAACTGATATTCTCATTACGCAATCTAGTACAGTCCCTGGGGACCTTTTGTGTGCAAAAAAGGTCCATGAATAAATGATATACCAATGTAAAGCTAAATGTTTGAAGTTTACAAAAAAATTGGGTAGACATGTCAAATCATGGTACGTTTTGAGAAAATCAAGATGGCCGCCAAGATGGCCGCCAAATTATTGAAAAAATTAATTATTCTTATACGCAATTTATATGATAAAATTAGTTCTTTTTTGTATTTATTTTGGCACAGGTGATGTTAAAACTTCACATTCTATTGGAACAATATAAAAATGGAGGCATTTCCATTATTTTTTTCATATTTTCTGAATTTCATAGATAAATTTGCTAAAAAATGCATGAAAAAATTATCAAAAATTGATATGGGGCTGACATTTTTTCCTACCAGCTAAGGCATAGCGGTGTAAATGAATATTTTTACCATATACTACAAAGACTTGAACAAGATCATAATAATATCACCCTTATTTTCTATCTTTATTGTAAAAGAATGTAGATTCTGATATTCTTAAAGTGGGTGGTGTAACGAAAACTAAGTCTCAGTATTTTGTTAACTGGTTTGTTGTGATAATTAAAACTATGAATAGTCAACATGTATTGCACTTTGGCATGTACCTAAAGTTATAAATAATTAAGAAACTTAGACTGATATTTTGTTTATCAGTAAAATGAAAGACACACCTGAAACGTATGACACTTTCAACTTTTAGCATTTTAAGCATGTTGTTAAGAATGACACAAACTTATAGATAAATAATCTGTGCACAATGCCATGGTAACAAATTGAAAAAAAATGTAACATTAAAAGAAGTCACATTTAATTCTAGCAAATTATCAACACAGATAACAGCCGATATTTTGAAATTAGATGAATAAATTTATTTCAAGACTTTGCATCATGCATTTGCTTTTTTCAAACTGCTATACATAGGAAAAGATCATGTCAGATGTGAATGTTGTTATGTTTGGAAAGGATAATTAATGGTGATAATAATAAGTAAAATTAATGGTGATAATAATAAGTAAAAGGCAGTCTTAAGGTAGAAATGTATATAAACATTATCAAATGTTTGAAACTGTACATAGGGTAAACATTTAAGACTTTGCATCTAAAACGAGAAATAAATAGGTCACTGGTTCAAATTCTAGGTCAACCAATATCATATTTTAATGACAATCGAATTTATTGTTGAGTTCAAACTTTTTGGTTGTAGCTTGTATTATGTAATTCTAACTTGCACTAGATAAAATTCTAGGTCAACTGATCTCAGTGTATAATTCTGCATCTGAAATTTTACAATCAAAATACAAAGAGGTCACTAGAACAGATTAAGGTCAGCTGGCATGTCATATTGTGTCTGTTATCCAAATTTCTTTAGCTTCAAAGCAAGAAAGTAAGTCACGAGGTCTTAAATTCTAGGTCACCTTATACCAGTGGGGCCATGATTTGAACAAAGACAATTCTTCCAACCAAATGGCCTTCCATTGTGGTTTCTGACAAAGAGTTTTTTATATAAAAATCGACATCTGGGCAGGGCCATTTTTATGCTCCCCGAAAAATTATGGGGGAGCATATAGTCGCCGGGCGTGTGTCCAAAACCTAGTCGAGGAGCATCACCTGGTTCAACCGGCTCTTGTTTTAATCCAGACTCATGATCATTATTTGATGCCTGCAAACTTAGCACTTTACTGAGAGTGTCGGATGTGAAATCCAGGCGTCTCTTGTTCCACAGACAACAATTGATCTCGGACATTGAGTTTTACGGTCATTTGTCTGTCAAAAAAGTTAGTACCGTAGCTAAGTAGAAATTGGTCATTACTCTTCTGGTTATTTATCCATGAAAGTGAGATAGTTTAACCAACCTTCAAGCTATCAACAAAGAAGTGTTGAAATTGGCGTATAACCCAGACCCGGCCCTTTCATGATTTGAAGAAACATGGTAAAAGTCTTCTAGAAATTGTTTCACATGCTCTAAACAATGGGGTTAAAGGGATGATTTTATAAAGGATTTTATATATAAGTTAGACTATGTAAATCAATTGACCCTTGGGAAAGGTAATTATAATCAAACGGATCATGACTTTACCAAGCTTAGAAGTTGTGTATTATTTCTATTATATGATTTATATCGTGACATAAATTGATATGGTCATAGAATGAATGCTTCACACTTAAATATCAAAGCATTTTATTTATGGAGAAGAAAGTTTTCAAAGCCTTTTCTTTATAACACAAAGTAAAATGACTTCTGGGGTTAGGGCAACTTTGACAAGATTGTCAAGATTTGAAAAATAAATTAAGGTTTTTTTGACAATGCTTTTAACCCAAAATCTAATCTGATCTGGGCATTTGGTTTTGGAAAAAATATGATTTTAAAAAGTTTTCCTATGTGTCTCCATATGAAATAAGTTGACCCTAGGGGTGGGTTAAATTTTCATTTGAATAAATTTTTTACTGGTCTATACAAGGCTACAACAGAAATAATAAGCTATAGGCATCGGTTTGGGAGAAGTTATCTTTTTAGCTTTTCTTATATGTAATATAAATGAATTTGACCACAAGGTCGTGATTTAAGCAAATGTAATAATATTTTCATGTTTTTTCTATATTTACATTGTGTAAAGAAAGTTTACTTACCTTTACTTTAAAGGTGATCAATTGTGCCAAGCTATTTAAAAAAATTTCATAGGAGGGGACACGAAATGTAGATTTTTATACATTTGACCTTGACCTTTGGTGTAGCAACCCAATGTTTGCATTCTGCACATGGTCTTATACTGGTTATCAATCGTGCCAAGATGGTTTTTTTTAAATTTCAGCGGTTAAAATGTTGGAGCGGACACGAAATGTAGACTTTTTAACATTTGACCTTAAAGTGTGACCTTGACCTTTTGTGAAGCAACCCAATTATTGCGCACTGCACGTCGTGTCATAATGGTGATCCGTTGTGCCAAGTTATTTCAAAACTTTACAGCTTTAAAAAAATTATGGAGCGGACACGAAATGTAGACTTTTTATTATTAAATGAAGACTTTTAACATTTGACCTTAAAAAGTGACCTTGAACTTGGGGATAGCAACCCAATTATTGCGCTCTGCATATTGTCTCATTATGGTGATCACTTGTGCCAAGTTATTTCAAAAAAATTTCAGGGGTTAAAAAGTTATGGAGCGGACACGAAAGTGTTATGGACGGACGGACAGACAGACGGAGTCCATTCCTATAATCCCATTACCGCTACGCGGAAGGCGATTAACAATGTTGGTTTAGTCCCATCTTAAAAAGCCATACATATAAAAGCTCAAGATCTTTTTATTTATTTCTGGGAATATTTGAAAACATTACACATTGTCAGTTCTATTTTTAACTTCTGTGACTAAGATATACAATAATCCGATTTGTGCAAAAAACAACAACAAAACAAAATTTCTGTCAAATTTTATCAAATATAGCCTATTTTTACGTCACATCAACACTTTAAAAGGCTTTGTGGCGACTTTCCTGCTTTACTGAGGAAAGCCTAATATGTTTCCCTCCGTGCATTATTTCATAATATTGACACCTTCTGGTCATCTTTTAAGGCAAATCAGAATTACAAAGTATGTAAGAAAGTGAAATTTGGCTTATTCAAATAAAGAAAACAGTAAAATTGTTTGTAAAATAAAGAAATCAAAGTCATATGTTCATCCTGATTCCAAATTCAAATACGTCCTGAACTTAATCTTAATTTGGAACACACTAGTGTTCATGTGCATTACATGCAACCGGACAATTTGAGAAATGCTGTTTTTCCTCATCTCCAATTACATTGAAACTATGGTTTTAAGACTGCACTTTTATAATGACTTATTTAAAACAGAAAGCTTATATGAATTTTGGATACGTTCAGCCGCGGGTTATTCCACATGATTTATTGATATTTATTGATGAGAAAATAACGAAACTGTAACAGTTGATATGATTACCAATGTCTTTGAGATTTTATTTGAATGCTTACCTGTATATAGTTATAGCTTATTACTACGTGACGACAATTTACATACTTCTTTGTGTGAGTGGAACAAAAATCGCTCCTAAAGTTTTACAAACACATATTTTTCTTATAACTGGTAAAAAACAGTCGAAAACAAAAGCAAAATCTATCATTACACCAAATTTATTTAGTGCCTTTCTGATATATATAACATGTTCAAATGCGTTAAAATCAACAAATTTATATCATAGTTATAAACTTTAAAAAAGAATACTCGACATAAAAATGAAATTTCAACAATTATACAAATCTAGATATGGCTATGTAAAACTATTTGCATATAAACATAATCTTAAATTCTTTTCAACGTGATTTATAATAATATTATGAAAGAGACCGCCATCTTCTTAAATAGTCACATATTTCTAAAGAACGAAGTGAGACTGCGGTAACAAAACTCATATTATTTACATATCGGAATTACTTATATTGTATAATTAATTTGAGACTTTTAAGTTTTAGTTTTGTGTACATTCTTCTGTAGCTTGTTCTTAATGTATACTGGAGTTCGTCCCTACTGTATCCGATTTTCAATAGGTAAAACAATTGAGATTCTATACAACGTTTCAGGGATTCTGTTTTTCTCTATTTTAATGTGTTTAAATGGAGGGTTGTTTTTGGTAATAAGACAAGATGCCATTTGATGAACAGTCCGGAGTTTGTTGATGATCATTTAAGACATACTGACCGTATAACAAAGCATTAGGTGGTTTGACCTGTAGGTCACAAAATAATTTATAAAGAATTTTGAGGCAACGGTGGAATATGGCCTATTTGTTTTGCGTAACAAGACATCTATACAGGATTTATAATTTATGCTGCTCTATATTTTTTTAGAATAGAAGAAAGTGTCAAATTTCTAACACAAAATGGTGATTTTATCCATGTTTCTCCAACTGTTAAAATATTTCAGCTGGGCTTGTATTGCATTGAGATGAGAACACAATCATTTAGGTTTTCCAGATGCATCTATGGCACATTATCTTGAAGACGTTCTTCATCACAACATATTGACATATTGTCTATTCCTTCTTATCACATTTGATCTGTGGGATTTTTTTTGCTTTATTTGTTATTTATTATTATTATTTAATGACCAATAAATGAAGAATGTTGAAAAGTTTTTTTCTCAAATCGGGCCAAACATCAAGCATAAATTTTATTTTTCAATATAACTCTGAGTAGATTTCATTATTATCTTTTGCCTCTAAAACTTTAAGCGTTTTTATTGTTACAGTAACGGTTCAGCAAAATGTTACCGATGTTTTAATTCAAATTTGTGTTTTTTCATGGAAAGTAAATGTAGTGAAATTTGAAATGATTTTTTTTATGTTTCAAATGTATCCAACTCTGAATTCTGTAATGCATAATCATGACATTAACTTCTACAACATGCTTGAAATGATAAAACCGAAAGCCTCATACGTTTCCGGGTTTCTCTCATTTAACCACTTTGTTGCCATGGCAACAGAACCAATTAATGTTGTTGGTAGAATAAAAATCTACCTTTTAGAAAATTAAAGACTTAAGAACATTTTAAAATGTAATCTTGTTGGTTATTCTTAGTCTTAATAATCGTTATATATCAGTTCACTAGAAATTGGGACTCAATTTTCGTGTACCCCACCCACTTTAGGAATGTCAGAATTCACATTCTTACACAATAAAAATTAAAATAAGGGTACAATTAGTAAGTTGTTGATCAGGTCTTTGTATAATATGGTAAAAATATTAGTTTTCACCACTATGTCTCGACTGATAGGAAAAAATGCCAGCCCCATGTCGATTTTTGTTACTTTTTCATGCTTTTTTAGCAAAATTTCTCTATGAAAACAAGAGTATATGCATAAGAAAAAGGAAAAGGACCCTTTTTCATATTGTTCCAATAGTATGTGAAGTTTTAACATCACCTGTACCAAAATAAATACAAAAAAGAACTAATTTTATCATATAAATTGCGTATTAGCCATTTTTCAATAATTTGGCGGCCATCTTGGCGGCCATCTTGGATTTCTCAAAACGTACCATGATTTGACATGTCTACCCAAATTTTTTGTAAACTTCAAACATTTAGCTTTACATTGGTATATCATTTATCCATGGACCTTTTTTGCACACAAAAGGTCCCCAGGGAACTGTACTAATCTGTTCTTATAGCCATGAACTTACAACTTCATTCTTAACGGTAAAATGACGTCATCCTAAGAATGCAATTTGAACATTCATAAAAGGCGGGCGACAATGACGTCATTTAAAGCACGCGACTGTCTTCCATGGTGTAAATGGCACATAATCCTGTCTGATATAATGCAAGAACTTATGATGATAACATACAGTATTATAAATAATAATATGATAAAATCATACATTTAAAATAATAGTACTGAACGTTTGTTACGTCCCTTTTCATTGGAAAAATCGTGACGTTTATAAATATAAAATAATACAGTAGATCTATACACGGCTGCTGTCAATTTAAGAAATAGAATTTCATTTCTTTCTCAAATAATGGAAAATATAAAGATTCTTGACAGGTTATATGATCCTATATAAACAGATATTTGCTATATAACCGTTTAATAAAGGGCCATACAACCTGTCGTCAAGAATATTTATATAACTAACGTATATAACGTCATAAATAGATCAAACTTAGTCTTTACTTAAGAACAGGGAACAGATGAACAGTTGTACAGAGTTCAACAACATTACTTCATTATATTGTATGGTCGACATCAAAATAACAAACTTCTTAAAACTACCAAATACATGTACATGGAAATAAATACGACTTCTGACTTCACGTTGTTTGATACTTACGTTAGAAAGTTGAAGCTTCCCTATGAATACCGATCGATCTGAAATTAATAGACTAACCTTTAAGCATCATTTATTTTTTGCAATATTATGTTCTTGTCTCAAGTTATGAATTGATGTAGTTATAAAGGTTAGAAACAAAATAGTGCGAATTATTATTTAGGTAAACATAAAAATATATTCAGCATCTGTAATATTCTTCATTGTCTTGCAATACAAGAAATTTGTGAAAAAATTGTGCACCTTCTGTGAAAAGCATGAAACTTGGCATGGAGTCAAGGAATGGTATTTCAAGTTATTTCAGCCTGGGATCCACTTTTTAAAAATCCAAGATGGCCGCCGAAATCCAAGATGGCCGCCAAAATGAAAAATGTACACAGGACATGTCAAAATGAAGTTATTAATGACTAGAAAATGATATAAATTGACATTATAGGTCAAAAATAATAATTTTTTGGAAAAATGCTAAAGTAGCATTGGTAGAAAATTCAATATATACCGATTTAATCTAACAAATCATAGGTCTTTGAATGTTAAACGAATTTAGAGAAAAATCCGAATGTAACAATATAATTCCGTTTATGTATGTATGTATGTATGTATGTATGTATGTATGTATGTATGTCTGTGTGTGTGTGAGCGCGTGCCCGTGCGTGCGTGCGTGTGTGTGAACGGGCGCGTGCGTGTGTGTGTGTATTTGCTGGATTATAGGTCATACCAACACCGTTAAATTCATACAGCGACCTTCCCGCTTTTCCGGTGGAGGAAGAACCCAGGTGCCACTATATAAATTATTTCTGGCACGAGTGGTACCCGAGTAGAACCACCGATCTTCCTTCAAACACACGCAGGGATACTTACCATCCGAACCAGCTTTTGCGAATGAACTTAATGGTGGGTTTTGGCCGAACACTTCTACCAAATCAATAATTAGTCCCAGTAATGTAGAGTTTCGCTGAAAACAATTTGACATCAGTTAACGTCAGAAAGATAAAAATTAGGCAGCATAATTATATGAGTTATTTTAAGATGACAAAGGGTTTATATCCGATGGTATAAATAAATAAATAAATATGTATGCCACAGTTCAGAACTGTTCACTTTTAACGGGTTCCGGTCAGGCTGCACATTTTTCTCACCGTGTGACATATAATAACGAAACATATATATCTAAAATAAAAAAACAATATCTTAATATTTCAACAGATTATTTATAAATACATTTCCTGAAAAATAAACGAGTAATTGGATAATATAAACTTAGTTCATGTTTTATATTTAACTAACAATCAATATAGATTTATGAAAATATGACTTCGTAAGATATATCGCCCTGTATGTGATTCCAATTTCATTTCCTAAAAAACTCAAGGAACACTCAATAGTGGCCATTCTTTACCATCTGGTCTATGTAATATTAAAATGATAGTCTGATCTGACTCTATGGCCCAGTTGGCAGAGATTGTGTTTTAACGAGGTTGTCGGTAACTTGAAATAGAAAACTTACGTTCCACTGTTTCATATATTTGGTATAGACTCTTCCTTCATCATCCACATACCCGATCTGGCGAATGTACATTGACGTGGAAGGTTTGACGTACACCGTCGGCGCCGTGTTAGGATGTTTGTCTGATATCCATACAGCTATAGGTGTATTATACGTTTCATCTAGATAAAATTACAATTTAAACGTGTATATTGAAAATTTCTATCGCAATTAACAGTGTAGGTCACTGTGACTATTCAGCATATTTAATGGTTGCAGAAAAAGACATGAATCTCTTGAATTAGTTTTATTAGGCTTTGGTACAACAACGCCTATAACCTATCAACATGGACAAATCAACTTCAAGAACTTCGATAGCGTTGATGATTGTTTAATGATCAACATTATTTTTTGTTCAATCACATTGTCGTATTTTTCAAATTTCTGTTAAGTCTAACTTTAGTTAATGTGTACTAACTAAACGCGTCGTCTAACCAGTCTATGCATTTTATCAGGGAGGAGTTAGAGGTGTGGTTGGCACTCTGAATGGTTAGGCGGAACTTTGGCTACGTAAAAAAAATAGACGAGGTCATGTGTTTCTAATTGTGATGATACAATCAAATTTATTACGTGGGGCACGCAGAGACAAATGATTACATAGTAACCTTTTCATATCCTTTTATCTCTAAGAAAAATGTCTGTTATAAATTGCTGACTGTTTTAAACTTTTATTTTCTAGAAAAAGTAACCAAAACATTATTTTCTTTCAGTTGATAGGAATGAACTGCATTAACAATCCTTGATATTAAGAATACAATGGTTATATTTTTTGGCTGGAAAACTCATTGTATATGGACCCCCTTCAGCCGTAAACCTAAATTGACACGCAGAAAAATAAAACAAAAGTGAACTGTTTTCCAAATGAGCAAATCAATAGGGATTTTAAATGTAAGTGAATAACTTGAAGCTTAAAACGAATTTGTATTAATTAATAATCTCTTATGTATTTTTCTCACATTTTCCATTTATTTTAAAAGGATGTACACATTTCATTAACTCCATTGCTTTTACCTTATTGCATCATTTTCCTCGCTGTTTTTTTTTCACATATTTTATAGAAACACGCTATTTTTACTGTAGATAAAGGTCATTTCAGTAAAAAATGTGCCTGATTGTATGTTGAAAGGAAAGGGCCATTTATTTAGCTTATCAAAAGGGCGGAGCTATGGTGATTTAGAGAAATGCCTTGTTTTTGGTTGAAGAAAATAATGTTGATCATTAAATAGGTTAATGTTTAATAATACGCATTAACAAAAGTAATTGGCCGCCTGCCTATTTTTGTTTATTGGTATTATTAAACACTAACCTATACATACTGCTCAAAGTGGGGGGGCGTTAAGGAGTTTGCATTTTTACAATATCTCTCTAAAACAAAATCAAACTGTGTCTGCAGTTTTCATATAATATTTTTGGTTTTTCAGATACCTCATGAGGGATCTCCCCATTTCTAGTTTTCTATGGTAGTATTCATGCCAGAAATATTATAAACTTAGTATATGTCTTGGTTCTTGGTTCATCTAGCTAAAATAAGTTGTTTACTTCGTCATTTTACTACCATTATTAATGTTGTCCTTTTGTTCCATTAACTATCTTTCTGACATGTTCATTCCAGAACAACTTTTAATTTGTCAATTAAAATAAAATATTCTAATTTCATCAAGTACATGAAGTATATTCCAATACTTATTTTACCTTTGTACAGTACGGGAATGGTTCCATCCAACACAAGAATGAATATTGTTTCACCACGTGAATTTTCTGTATGAAAATACATAGATTAATTATTTTGTGAAATTATCTTACTTATTGTTTCACACTGCTCAAGAACGAAAATGTACATCATGTAACGATATCGGTGATGAATTTCATTATCATTTTGTCTGTTCAGTATTCGAAGAAGATTGATACATGTATATATTTAACTTTAATGGCGATCAGCATAGTATGTTTAAATTGGTAAGTTTGTTTATATCTGAAAATATAGTTTCTAAATTTTGTTATTTTATATGCATGTTCTTAGTTTACTAATGTTGGGCAGAAATATGGAATATTTTATATTCCGGAAGCTTCTTGAACTGAAAATTCAACGCAAATTGAAAATCCATTTGAGATGAAAGCGTGGGATATAAGTGTTTCAATGAAATTGGGAAAAAATCCGTCGGAATCATTTCACAATTTTTGGAAAGTCCTGTCATTTTTATATCAATTGATGTAATCATATGACCGAGTTATTCCAAACAAAATAACAAAATAAATGATACTTGTTTAGGGAGTGATCAATGTATATCTATATTTAAGAACATGAATAATGTCATAATGAATTAAGTACAGATAGAATTTCGTGATTTTTTTTGTTTGTTTGTTTTTCTTCTTTATTTTTTTATTATTATTTTCTTTTTTTGGGTGGGGGTGGGGGTAGCTTACTAGTTTCTTCTAACTTTGGCCTCAAGTCTTGAAATACTGACATCACCTCTTTAACTTCAGTTTTGGTACTTCCTGGATTCTGATACTAGAAAAAGAACAACATGGAAAACATATTCAAAATGCACAAGGAGATATTTTACAGCCACCACGCGGCGCAGACGTGTCAATAAAATAGAAAGCATGTATTCCTAAAAGGGTATAAATCTATATCATATGAAATATTTCTATAAAATGTATCAGCAGTAAAATTATATTGGTTCCATTATTATATGGCTGATTCCCGATAAAGTTGTAACATAGAATATCTCTGATATTTAATACACTTGAAAATGTACGTTAGCATAATAAAATGTTTCGGAACAAAAGATGATTTGCTATTTTAAGTAGGATTTTATCCGTTAAGCAATGACTTTGTGCATGCACCATTCGCCTTAAGGCAATTGATTGCCATTTTAATTTCATACACACATTTTGAAAGTATTCTTTTTTTAAAATCCATACAATATTTTTCCATCAGATATATAGCTTTATACACTTTAACGATTTGCCAACACGGCATTAATATTGCACCGTTTGATTCAGTCTGTTTATGGGCGGTAGTTGTAAAATGTAAGCTCCCTATCACCGGCCTAAAGAAAACTCAACATTAACATATGGAATAGGTAAAAAACACACATCCACATATGTGCTCATACAGTGATTATCACGGAAACCTCAGTGTGGCATTTATATACTAGCATATAGGAGTACATCATGTATATGTAAAAGTATGTTATTTGTACAATACATGTATTTGTAAAATGATTGATTCAATGTACATGTACTATTTGTAAGACAGTGTTTGAAACAAAGATCTCTAAGAGCGTGTCAGAAGCATAATTAAATCATTGAATAAAAAAACACATTATTATATTTGTTTTCATTTTGTTTGCTTTTATCACATTGTTATTGGCTGTATGCTGTTCACTGATCAAACAATGACTTAGATAAAGTTAATGTGATATTTTCGGGGTTTTTTCAAAGGTGTACAATTATTTTCGGTGTTCATTAGGCCTTTGCGCTAATAGATAGATGGATGGATGGATGGATGGATGGACGGATGGACAGACAGACAGACAAACAGACATATTTGTACATAGTCATAAATACAAAACACATAATACATAAAACATTATATGACTTCATGCTTTATTTCTACCGCCACTGTATATATATCATATTGGCTGTTTTTGCGTGATAAAATATTGAATTGAATTTTCTTATTAAAGACGTCAAGCGCATCTACTCGGTTCTTTCCGTCAAGCTTTAGAGCTTTCAAACTCAATATAAAATATATTTTGAAAGAAGAAATCTATATTTACTGGTTATTGTTAAAAGTGTTTCGCGGTTCATGGTTTAGAGTAAAATCTAATAAAATTAAACAAATGCAAACAACAACCAGTTACCTTGAGAAACCAAAATAATTTTATCATACCTTAGTTTTTTGTACGTTTTGGAACTTAAAGAGTTTTTAATTATAATAATATTTTGTAAATTATACTTTCGGTTTGGTTTACTGGTTTATAAATATATAATTATTACATAGATATAATGTTAATCTTATTCAATACATACGAGTATACATAGTAAATATAAATAAAATGTAGAGCTTACCTTTGCCAACGATGTATTTAAAAATATATCATAGCTCATTTTTTCTCTAACTTTTATGGATTTACAAGCACTAGAGAAAATACTATTACTATTACGTAGTTTCGGTTTTAATAGAAAAAACGCCGGAAGTTTGCTGTTACATTAAATATATATAAGCGGCTAAGTATAGAGTGTTCTATTATTAGAATATTCAGTCATGTATAATATATATAATAGAACATGCTATACTAATGGTAGGCATTTATACTAACCTTCAACAAAGTTTTTGAATCGCTACTTATCATCATAATGAAACTGACTGTATCTTATTTACATTTTCAACTCTTTTTTTTTAATTTTTAATTAAGTATACGAGGGTTATCCCAATTGCACACCGCACAAATTAAATGCATGGGTACACAACCGTTCAACGCGTCAACAGCCGTACTAGTATATACATGTCGGTATAAAACATAATTGACGGTCTGATATGGAATGCCATGGCTATCTTATATTGTTCTTTTTCAATTAATTTAACCATATGGATAATACATAAGTTCACTTCGACAATATATGAATTGAAAACACCTTCTTATTTAACCGTAACCCACAGTCACAATATATGAAACCATACCGTCAGTGTATGAAACCGAGGTGGTAATATATAAGTTGATTTTGTAAATATATATATGATTCCAGTTCTTCAATATATGGTACCAGATAATATATGGAATCAGATAATTTTTATCCTTATATGAAACCGAATCATCAATAAATTAATTCATTTTTCAATATATGAAACCAATTTATCAATTTATGAAATAAAATTAGAAATATATATAAGTTGATTATCACTTTATATTATACCAATTTTTCAATATATGGTACCAAAATAGCCATATATAGAACCAGATGTCCTGATATGAAACCGAATTATCAATATATTAATTGATTTTTACAATTTATGAAACAAATTTATCAATGTATGGAACCAAAGTAGCAATATATGACTTGGTTATCACTTTATATTATACCGGTTCTTCAATATATGGTACCAAAATAGCCATATATGGAACCAGATGCCCTTATATGAAACCGAATTATCAATATATTATTTCATTTTTACAATATATGAAACCATTTTATTAATGTATGGAACCAAAGTAGCAGTATATAAGTTGATGTTACATATCATAGAATATATATAGCTACCTTGGTTTCATACACCGACGGTATGGTTTCATAAATTGTAATTTGGATTTATATAATGGTTTCCGGTTTAACAAGGTGTTTTCAATTCATGTATTGTCGATGTGAACTTATATATTATCCACATGGTTAAATTAATTGAAAAAGAACAATATAAGACAGCCATGGCTTTCTATAGAAAGAAGTACTTTAAATATATGTGTCTTTGCGATTGTCTTCAAATTATGTCATATAGCTTCAGATCAAGGACTTTAAAGATCCTGTAACACAAATTTTTTATGGTTTATGGTTTTGTATCATAAATATGATGCTCAAATTAAGATTTATCAATATTGTAAGTTCCAAAAAGCATTTTTTACAAAGATATTACCGAATTTAACATTTCATGTAAATAAAGGGAGGTAATATAAAAATTATTTTCTATAAAGTCTAAGTCTAAATTTTCAATAAGAAATGAATGCATATGTTTCAATGATTACATTTAGTATGTACAAATATTTGCAGTACATATTTTACATATTCTCCAATGTTTGAAAATTATTTTATAAGCATAATTATATACATATATATAATTTCACTTAAGTGTGGTATACAATCTAATTAAAACATGTAAGCAGCCAAAGAATTAAATATCATCGCCATAACATTATGCTCTGGACCATTTACCCTGTTTTGAAGATAATGTGAATGACGATTTTTGACGTGGGCCGTATACTCTTGTACAAAGTTATTTTAGGCTCGGACATTAATTTTTTGTTTTATATCGATTGTACACGACTGTGCGGGACAGTCTTCGTATAGTTTCTCTAGGTCTGACACAGAAACAATGTGATTTACAGTTGACCGAGTTTTTAACGTTTCTAAAGTAACTTTTGACAGCAATGACTTTACACCCCTATCTACATCTCAAAAGAGTTAGGTACCCAAAAATCAACCTCAACCATTCGGACAACATGTCTTATCACGGACATGACTTAAATTCCATTTTGTGTATAAAATACAGTGAAGGCTTTCATCTGTGTAACAAACGAAAAGAAGCCATTCTGATATAATCTCAATACACAGTGAAATTATCTTAAGTTACTGTTTTTTGTTGTTGTTAATGTTGTTTCTGTTGTTGTTTTTAAGATGGCAGTTGTCTTCTCATTTACATTAAAGAAATCCTATACTGCAAATACACTTTAATAAGAAAAGAAACATCATGAATTTTTTTCACATAATATTTTATTTAGTATTTCATTTATAACATTTTCAGTAGATTCTGATTTACTTATACATGTATACATGTTCTATAACAAAACTATAACAAGAGACACCGCTTAGTGGAGGCCATGCTCAACTACTAGTATTTCTTATGTCAAACATGTCAGCTGAGGAAGAATAATGTAATAAAGAATATTCCTAGAAAAAAGTTATTTTCTTTGTACAAAATATGACACAAATTTCATAATTGACATTGACAGTCAAGGTCATTCAAAGGTAAATATCACATTTGAATTATTTACAATGTCAATTTTGTTGTTAGTGTCCAGAATGAATCAAATCAATACATAAATAACAAAGTTATGACAATTTAAGCAAATTTCAATAGTTTGACCTTGAAGGTCAAGGTCAATTAAAGGTCAACGCCTTATCAGAATAATTCAACATATTGGTTTTCTTCATATGTGTTTTTGTCCAAGTATAAATCAAACCAGTAAATAAATAACAGAGTTATGACAATCTAAGCAAATTTCAAATATTTAAAGTTAACAAAGGTCAAGGTTACATTTGAATAATTCAACATACAGGTTTTGCCATAAGGATTGTTTTGTTCAAGCATAAATTAAATCAGCAATGTTTTATCATAGCACCAATATGTAAAAGATTAACATTAAGGATATGATATATTGGAAATGACCCCAAAATGGTGACCAGGGGAAATAATAATTGCAGTGTGAAAAGCATCTATTTGACCTTGATTGTCAAGGTTATTTCAATGTAAAGGTCATACTGGAATTACTTAACATGTCAGTTTTATAATAAGTGTTCTTCCAAGTACACAATAATTTGACCTTCAAGGTCAAGGTTATTATGACTGAAGGTCAAATTGAGTTTTATCTTCTTAAAGACATTGTCCGTAAGGTGGGAACGGATGACATGACTGGTGCAATAGATTTTTTTTCTTTGAAAAAGTTGAGCTAAAAATCTTTAAAATGTTTCAATACAATACAATCAACCAACCAATGATTTTTTTCAATACAATTCACCAATTACATGTTTCATTACAATCAACCAATTACATGTTTCATTGCAATCATCCAATGACATGCTGCATTAACATAAAACAATGACATTATTCATATTTTCAAAATTCTGACTAGAATAAATACTTTACTTTGCTTTATTTTCAATAGAGATATGTCTGTTAAAGTTAAACAAATTACAAATATGTGTAAAATTACAAATACATTAAATGTAAAATGTTTAACAAATACAATTAAATATGTATAAATATACATGTATATGCATGAACAACAATGTATAATCTTTTTTTTTACATGCACGTATTTTCAAGAGAAAAAAGTAACAAAAATTCACAAACATGAACAATTTAAGAACATTGATAATGTACTTGAATACAAGTAAATCACAAACATGAACAATTTAAAAACATTGATAATGTACTTGTATACAAGTAAATCACAAACATGAACAATTTAAAAACATTGATAATGTACTTGTATACAAGTAAATCACAAACATGAACAATTTAAAAACATTGATAATGTACTTGAATACAAGTAAATCACAAACATGAACAATTTAAAAACATTGATAATGTACTTGTATACAAGTAAATACCTTGGTACTTAAGTGTTAATTTTTTTTTTTTGTAAACTATAACAAAATACAACATGTGTAAAATTCTATTTAACTCCTAATAAGTATAAACACAGTATATAAACAAGTCTACTTCCTGTTATCCCAAGAAAGGTACAAGTTAAAATATATATATCCCAAAGTAAGTAACAGTAATCGGAAGTAACATGTGCTTGTAATCTAAGGACAGGGTACACATTCAATTTTATAGGCTCGCAAGACAGGGTACAGTGATTTCATTTATATACTGTGATAAATAATTAACATTTTTCAACTGACTCTCACTTTTATCTACTAGTTAATAATAGCACACACATTTTATGTATAAAATACAAATATAATATATTATCTAACTTCGACACAATTAAAGCTCCAGATATATAAAAGTTACATTAGTTTGTTTGATAGCAATACTTTACATAGATATTCATATCTGATTTATATAATACAATGTAATGCATAGTATGAGTGACATGTATAATAAAAGTTTATCAAGCTCATCTCTGAATGAAATGTAGATAAAAAATTATTATAACAATTCCAAATTCAACAATCTTTCATCATAAATATTCTACAAACAATTTCTGAGAACCATACTTCTATTGAACCTTAATTGGTGAAACAGCTGTGTACACATCCATTAGAATTCAAAATTGTACTCAACACTGTATAGTAATTTAATAGTATTAGATTCATTAACAGCATGGTCAATATATGAGAAATCTTTCAGATTGATGAATTGATAAAAACAATAACTATCTATATGACTTTGTTCTTTATCACAAATTTACAACAAAACCTGCCTATCAAAATGAAAGCCCTGCTTATTTAGTTGGATAAAAAAATAACAATAGGATAAAAATTCTCTCACAGTTAAGAGATCCTGCATATTTGACAAGAGATCCCAACCACACGGCAAAATATCCCACCCATTGGCAATTAAAATCCAATTAGATGTTCTACTTGTTCAATTTGTCATATATTAGACTTTGATGTCACAATACACCATCTTTCTTCATCTTCTTCAACTATATGTTCTGAAATACACATAATTAATCTCATTCTTAACGATATAAATAAAATGTTTACACAATGCATACAAATGACATATACAAATGCAATTATAATTTCCAACTCTGCACATTTCCACTCCATAAATACAATTCAGAAATTTAAATTTATTGTTTTTTTTTATTGTTTTTGTTTGTTTTTTGCTAGACCTACTAAGAGAGAGGATTAGTTTTACCAAATAACACCAGTACTGTTAAGGTCACCGACTCCCATAATGATTGTGTTCTTCGAGCTTTACTGGACTTCAAGGTACCTGTATGTGCATTAATCCAGGCACAAGCAGGTAGCACTATCCTTCCATAAGCTAGCTACAGAAGCAGACACCTTAACTACAAGGCATCCTCTTTTCTTGTAGAAGCTATGATTAAAAATATTCTAATATTCTAAACATCTCCATAGGCATACTATAATAATATTGGCTATTACATCAACTTTATTATGAATCAAGGGCAATAACTCTAAAAAATTAAACTAAAATGATTACTGCTAATCATCACAGTTGTTCAAAGTATCATAACTCTGCAATGCCATCTTCCATTGTCTCTCAAGACATTTGTTTGAGAAACATTATTATAGTAAAGAAATGTGATATTGATTTCTACCCCAACGATTTGTATAAAAAAACAAGAGCAATAACTCTACCAGAACTAAGTAAACTGATGAATTAAGGAAGCTCACAAGGTAACATTGACCTTTTTTCATACATTGTACAAAGGGCTGTTACTCATAAGTAAACTGATGAATTAAGGAAGCTCACATGGTAACATTGACCTTTTTTCATACATTGTACCAAGGGCTGTTACTCATAAAATACTAAGTATTATTTGGTATTTGGTTTACTGTTACTTATCTAAGTCAGTTAATCAGTTTACTGTGTGGCTATTATGGGGCTTATATACTGTGGATAGGAAGTACAGGACAGCATTTAATATGTAATGGATTTAAAAATGAGTCAAACATGACAATACAGGACATAAAGCTGAAGTTACGTTTTGAGCCAAGTGAAACCTCACTCACCAAAAGTTAAAGCCCCACCTAAAGTTTATACTTACCAAATATAAAAGGCAACTGAGTAAAAGAATGATGACTGTAAGAGGAAAGTGTGAAAATCTATTTTCAGCATTGATGACCTTGACCTCAGTGACCCCATACTCTTCCAAAATTTAGAGGGTCATCAAATTTACCTACGTCCTAAGATATGGAAGATACTTTTCAATTAATGAAGTTGCTAGTTGACATTATCATGAGGAAAGGTGACAGTACACAGAACTAAAGAAGGATAAAGAAGCAAGTACATATAATGCTCCATGGATCAGGGCTTCCATTTAGATCCAAAATTTGGAAGTCAGAGACTTCAAAATGTCTCACACTGGAAGTCACATTATATAGGTAAAGAAGGAAAAGCATTACATTTTGGAAGTCACAGGCCAAAACCAAGGTGTAAATAACTACAAAACTTCCATTATTTTATTAGGCAGCATTAAAAGAAGGAATTGTTAGAACACCAAAGTTTAACTTATACATTCTAACATGCTTCACATTATTCCCTTATCAAACAGATAGAGAGATCAAGTGCATTATTACCAATAAGCATACAGCATACAAAACAAATGCTAACATATGTCATATATGATGTCAATAAACTAAATGATGTCAACAAAATTACTTCTACACTCAATGTAGTTCAACATATTTTTTTATCAATTCTTTTTTTTTTTTATCTTAACATGTAAGAATGGAAATGTATATTAATTTTTCTTGCACTATAGCATAATAATTCATGTTTTATTGCTCAAATGCTTTGTAATTAATTACTCATGCCTGTGCATTTTAACTCAAACTGTGCAACAATGCACTCAAAATTGATATCTATTGCCTAAATTCAAAAACCAAACAGGACATAAAACATGAATTTCTTACCAACTTTATCATCTTTTACAAGTTTTTTCAGGTGATGTCGAGCATTTCCACAAGCTGACGGGATTAGACTCGGATTTAAGCCCTGAAATAAATGACATTCATGATAATACATTAGCACAACCAATGGAAATATTGGCAATAAAGAAAATGTAATACAGTTGAGTTAAAATCATCAAAATAGTTCCAAGTCATAATCTTTTTACCCCTCACAAAGTTACAACACTGTTTCTATTATGATATTATTTGATTTTTATTTTCTTCCAGATGACAAAGGGCTGCTTTACCAACCATTGGCTAAGATAGGCCCTTTGTACAAATATCTAGTAGAACAAGGTTTTAATTGGTAAAAGGCTATTCACAATTAAAAACAATTCACTGACATTACTTTCTTGATTTTTACTCATATTATATAGAAATAATAAATTATTATGTTGATAAACTACTAGGATAAATATGATAAACCAGTGTAAACTACTAGGATAAATATGATAAACCAGTGTAAACTACTAGGATGAATATTGATCTTAGCCCTACTTACAAAATGATATCATTTACGATGCCATGAAATCACTAAGTCCTTGCTTGGTCCAGTGATAGCTCAAAAACTTCAAAGATTTCTACATTTTTTTTCTTTTAAGGGATGTGTGTGTGTGTGTGTGGGGGGGGGGGGGGGTGATTAAAGGTCATTTCACAGCTTTCCTGGTGGAAGACGATGGAAATCTCTTTCCTGCAATACTTATTGAGCAAGGGGACACCCAAGTAGAAACACTAACCTATATATAAGCTGAATAGTTTTCTCACATAGTCATGACGAAAGAATCCAAATCGCTGCAAGGATTTGAATTTGAACCTACAGTAGTAAGAGGCAAGTGATTAGAGGTCAGCCACTTTAACAACTCAGCCACAGAAGCCCTTCAGCCAATCAGACTTTAAAGCAGCATGCCTCCAGACTCATGCTCATTTTCATAAACATTTTGACAAGTTCAATATTGTGAAGTGAACAAATAAAGTAATTTAAACATTGCAAACAACACTTACAATCCACATAAATTACAAAAAAAAGTAAAAATATGCAAAAAAGCCCTTACTGCTCTAGTATTGCAGTAGAAATATTGTGAGAAATTTTGAAAAATCAGTCATCAATAACATAATTATTATAACATGTAAATTATTACTTGAACCTTTTAACTTTTATGTTCTCTAGTTTGATTTTCTTCTAGTACTTTGGCTCATCTGGAGGCATGCAGCTTTAACTATAAAAAATTACATAAGAATGGGAGTACATTACCTTATAAACAACTTTGACAATATCTAGAGTGGAGAGATTGGTTCCCGCCTGCTTCTGTAGGACATCTAATATCTGATTTTCTCTTTCGTTTCTATGGTTAATATAATATGTTACATGTTCTAAAGGGTTCTTTATTACAATACCATGCCCTGACATAAAACAAAACACATGTTATAATGAATTTCTCAAGATACATTATTTATACAATAAAAATACACATTATTTATACATGTACAATAAAAATACATCAAAAATATCATTAAAAAGTAATTATGCAACAGTTAATTCCACTAAAATGGAATTAACCGATTTATTCAGTACCATAGAACCTAAGGGCACCATCCAATATTGTCTCTGTAACTAATATATGATTTTTATTATATATAATTTATGTTTTAAGTGTATATCAATGATAAATTATTAATATTATTTTCCTTGTTGTTGTTTAAGCTACATCAAAATTGTAAAGATCAAATGGCAACTTTACTGGGGGAGAAAGAAATCAGGTGCTCCTCAGTGCAATATTTCAGGCACAAGCAAGCACCCACTGACCACAGGAACTTGAAATTCTATCAAATGACCAATATTAATGATAATATCCAAATATACCCCCTATATACTATAAATAATTTATAGTATATAGGGGGTATATTTGGATATTATCATTAATATTGGTTATTTGATAGAATTTCAAGTTCCTGTGCACTGACTTACTTCATTACATATCACAGGGTTTTTGTTGTATATTATAACATGCACACTTGTCCATTTTTCTGCTGAATTGTTAAAACAGATTTTCTGAGGCTGAGCTACTATATTTTAGAAGTTTTGGGGATAATAAAGTAGAGCTTTTCAATTTAATCTGCCAGCAGTATAGATAGTTCCAAATGTTGACAATATTTATCTCCCTTCACAAATGTGGCAGCCATTTTGAAGGTTTGTTAGGGTTTTATGACACACTGACACTGTATTGATCATACGGTGACGTTCCAGCTTTACTGGTGGAGGAAGTACTCTGATGCCCTTCTATTCAATATTTCAGGTACAAACGGACACCTGAGTAGAACCACCGACGTTCCATAAGCTAGCTGGATAGCCTCCTCACATGAAAGAATCAAAAGTCCCTGTCGGGATTCGAACCCACAGCGGTGAGGGGCAAGTGGTTTGTAGTCAACGACCTCCATTTTGAAGGTGTCATTATTCAAAATATATATCATTGATAAAAAATATTGAAATGAGCAAAGTAATCAGACATTCTGATGGGGGAGTAGTTGTTTTATGTATGTAAACAAAAATATTATATAACACCAATTTCAAAAAAGATTTTAACAAGAGATAATTTACATCATGTCAGAAAATGCTAGAAGTGTGGAAAAATTTTATCTGATGTTAATTAAAAGAACTCTCTGGATGTAAAAAAAAAGTCTATAAAAATAAAAATTTATATTAATCAACTTAAGGGCACTTAAAACAGAAATATTTGTAAATTATAATAAAGAAATGAACTAATTATTAAACTGAAAATGGATATTAGCGCACCTCTTGAGACCTGAGATATGAGTTAGTTATAATATTACCTGGATACAGAATACTTGGCTTTAAGTCTAATATCTTCTGTAATGACTGCATATACGAATGAAGGTCTTCAAATACCTGTAAAAAAACAAAAGATGATCAAAGTTTAATAATTCTGAAAAAAAATGTGTTTAACATAAAAGTACTTCATCATTGACATAATTATCAAAAGTTGACATTTCAATACTGAAACAATGTACAAACAGTTGTAACTCTTTTTTTTATGCCATATGAGATACAACTGTATAACACCAATTGCCCTTCCTTTCAACTATGCTTAAGTGTGAGATATAGTTAGTTCAGTGTAAGATCGGAATATATTTCACCAAGTAAAAACCAAAAGGTAAATATGAACTTTTGGTGTTCAAGAGGTGAAATGTATTTTGATCTTACACTCAAATAAACAAGTTTTCTTTTCCTTATAATTATGCATAGAAACATTTTATTAAAAAGACATTTTATCCTAATACTAAATGAAAATCGCGCCAAATAATAATACAATGCGACGTCATTTACGACGTCATATCATTAACAACGCTAAATACCGTATTCCAGTACATACCGTACAAGGCGCTTGAATGATAAAATGCTAAAATCTTGCCTTTTTACCCAGCGGAATGAACTTTAACAGGTCTAATTCATCTTTTCATACCGATTTATGTATGATAATGAATGAAAAATGTAAAAATCTGCGGAAAAAAAACGATATTTGTCTATTTTGTGATCATGATTTCTGCAAGTGTCTAGGTACTTCTCCAATCCTGTATTGAGTTAAATCCTTCCAGTATTATGCACGCTGGAATTTCACTGAAACAACGTTACAGGCTTAAATCCAAAACAGTGAAAAATATCAAATTGATAATTTCAGTTTCAAACAGTGAAATATCAGTTTTATATTTCACTTATATTTTTCTATAAACCACCGAAAAGCATGTAATAAATAGGTCTTACTCTGAATATTTCAAACTATAATGGAAATGTTAATTTAAGAAAGAGTAAGTGTATGACATACTGCCGTAGACTCTCCCAGTATGGTATCCCCAGCTAACACAGCATTCTCCTCTTCTAAATATAGTATCATATGTTCTTCCGTGTGACCAGGGGTATGTATAGCTCTAAATTATAACACCAATAAAATATATAGTGATTAATACACAGCACCAGACTTGGGCCGAAAGGTGATAATAGGCCCACAAAACGAATGAGCATCAGAATCCTAAAATAAAGATGCCAACAGGATAGTAAGTGCCTTGTCAGGCTACATGGGTGTAAAGGCAATCCAACTAATGGCACAAAAAATTCACTGTTCCAGCAAGTTACTGTCTGGGTTTAAAGCTTTCTATAATTATGCAAGTGATATTTTTGTTTCAGTTTATACAGAATTTATCTTAGTTTAATTGTGTAGGAAGCTAATTTATTTTATGTCTATATTTAGATTAATCAAAGCGCTGAAAGCACTGATGTATTCGCTGCGCATTATAAATGCATAATTATGTGTCTCACTAAAACGTTGCAATTGTAAAGAATAACGGAATATCGGCCACGGAATTACAGATTATTAATCTGATAGAGACATTAACACTGGTTGTTGAATATTACATTGAAAGAGGGAAAGAAGTAAGAATAAACTAAATGAGAACAACTTTATTACATTATCTAAGTGGTACAATAAAATATACATCCAAAATATGAATGCATGCAGTACATTCATGACTAGATCCTTAACATGATGAGAGAATTATGTGATAATGAATATACATACAGTAACAATACCTAGAATACTATATTGCTACATAAGCTTCAAATGTAATGACAGACAGATTACCTAGCTAAAGCATTTCAGTTTTTCACATGATGAAAAGTGAAACTTGGAACATGTTTATTTCATGAAATTTAAGAAGAAAATATAGGTATTTTTGTAAAATACTTTAATTTAAAAAATTTCTGAGATTAAAAAAATACAAAATAAAGTACTTTTAATAGTTTGCGTATTATATTTTTAATAAGCCTGTAACAGTCAAAAATAAATTTTTCAAATTCTGTTATTTACTTTTTTGCAAAGAAACATTACAAATGCAATGGGAGCATGAGGAAATGGCTTTAATAATGCAAAACAAGCAAATGGGACAATAAGAGAAAAGGATGGTTGTAATATCTAATCTTTTGTTACCTACTGTGACCTTATCATGCAAAAGACCAAATCAATTTAAAGCGTTCTTGCACACAGTAAATGAGAATTTTTGACGTTTTCAAAACTGAGTAGTTTAATATGACATTATTGAAATATGGATGACGGACAGACCAGGAATCTTTGACTGTCTGTAATAGCTGACCTTTTGCTAATGTGAGCTAAAAAAATGAGAATACTGATGTCAAGGATGATTCAATAATATCCATATTTAAGAAAACAAATCTTTAAAACCAATTGCCATATTGATAAACAAGAGCATCGCTAGCCGGAGCATTATATGCCCGAAAGTGTTTTTTTTTTTAGTAAGGATGAAGCATTTGTAAGACATGGGAATTAGCTGTTCATCCTATAAAATTTTACAGATGTACGTTGATTAATACTTAAGTTATTAATAATGACCTTAACCTTTGACCTTGTGACCCTAAAATCAATAGGGGTCTTCTACCTTATTATGGACAATTATCCTAAGGAGTTTGAATATTGTGGGCCAAATGGAACTTTAGTTATGCTCCGGAAACTGTTTTAAATTTTAAGGTAAAAGTGACCTTGACCTTTGACCCCAAAATTAATAGGGGTCTTCTACCCAATATGGACAACCATCCTCTGAAGTTTGAATATTGTGGGCCAAATGGAACTTAAGTTATGCTCCGGAAACTGTTTTCAGTATCAAGGTAAAAGTGACATTGACCTTTGACATAGGGGTCTTCTACCCAAAATGTACAATCATCCTATGTTTTGTAGGCCAAATGGAACTTAAGTTATGCTCCTGAAACCAAATGGTTAACGGACAAATTGCTAACGGACGGAAACTGTTTGCAGTATCAAGGTAATAGTGACCTTTGACCTTTTGACCCCAAAATCAATAGCGGTCTTCTACCCAATATGGACAATCATCCTATGAAGTTTGAACATTTAGGACCAAATGGAACTTAAGTTATGCTCCGGAAACCAAATTGCTAATGGACAAATTGCTAACGGACGGAAACTGTTTTAAGTATTAAGGAAATAGTGACCTTGACCTTTGACCTTTTGACTCCAAAATCAATAGGGGTCTTCTACCCAATATGGACAATCATCCTATGAAGTTTGAACATTGTGGGTTAAATGAAACTTAAGTTATGCTCCGAAAATGTTTTCAGTTTTAAGTAATAGTGACCTTGACCTTTGGACCCCAAAATCAATAGGGATCTTCTACCCAATATGGACAATCTTCCTATGAAGTTTGAACATTGTGGGCCAAATGGAACTTAAGTTATGCTCCGGAAACCAAATTGCTAACGGACAAATTGCTTACGGACGGAAACTGTTTTCAGTATCAAGGTAATAGTGCCCTTGACCTTTGAACTTTTGACCCCAAAATCAATAGGGGTCTTCTACCCAATATGGACAATCATCCTATGAAGTTTGAACATTGTGGGTCAAATGGAACTTAAGTTATGTTTCGGAAACTGTTTTTAGTTTTAAGGTAATAGTGACCTTGACCTTTGACGTTTTGACCAAAAAATCAATAGGGGTCTTCTACCCAAAATGTACAATCATCCTATGAAGTTTGAACATTGTGGGCCAAATGGAACTTAAGTTATCCGGAAACCAAATTGTTAACGGACAAATTGCTAACGGACGGAAACTGTTTGCAGTATCAAGGTAATAGTGACCTTTGACCTTTTGACCCCAAAATCAATAGCGGTCTTCTACCCAATATGGACAATCATCCTATGAAGTTTGAACATTTAGGACCAAATGGAACTTAAGTTATGCTCCGGAAACCAAATTGCTAATGGACAAATTGCTAACGGACGGAAACTGTTTTAAGTATTAAGGAAATAGTGACCTTGACCTTTGACCTTTTGACCCAAAATCAATAGGGGTCTTCTACCCAATATGGACAATCATCCTATGAAGTTTGAACATTGTGGGTTAAATGAAACTTAAGTTATGCTCCGAAAATGTTTTCAGTTTTTAAGGTAATAGTGACCTTGACCTTTGACCTTTTGGACCCCAAAATAATATGAGGGTCTTCTACCCAATATGGACAATCTTCCTATGAAGTTTCGAACATTGTGGGCCAAATGGAACTTAAGTTATGCTCCGGAAACCAAATTGCTAACGGACAAATTGCTAACGGACAGAAACTGTTTTCAGTATCAAGGTAAAAGTGACCTTTGACCTTTTGACTCCAAAATCAAAAAGGGTCTTCTACCCAATATGGACAATCATCCTATGAAGTTTGAACATTGTGGGTCAAATGAACTAAAGTTATGCTCCGGAACCAAATTGCTAACAGACGGACGGACGGACGGACAGACGCCAGGGGTATAACATAATATGCCCTTTTCGGGCATATAAAAAAAGTAAACAATGTAAATTATCTATACCCCTGGTTAAAAACATGATAGAAGAAATATCCCCAGAACCTTTTTACTCGCAATAATAATAATGTAATTTTATAACAGCAGCTTAATAAGAAAATCGCCTTATCTAATAGTCTGAATTTCTTACACAATTTAATGCTTGCATGACAAACATTCTATTATAAAGCTTTCAATATTTTCAGTTACTTTCATACATAATCAGGTGTTCTTTTTCTAATTTAAAGGCATATTAAACAAGAACTTGCTAACAATTTGGGTCACGATTAGTTTATCTCATGAATAAAATTGCAACTTGCTTGCAATTTTAAGTAAATTTTATTTTAAGTTTTCTTATGCTAGGAAAGTATGGTGATTGCTCAATTTTAAGTCATTTGTTAAAAACATTTTCATAAATCGGAAACACACTCTATAAATGGCTTGGTACTTCATATCAATTGTGATATTTCTTTTATTAAGAATATTACTTACTGATAAATGTTCACAAAATTGCAAATACAATGTAAATCTAAAAACAATGCTACATAATTAAGGATAATCAAGTTATATAAATGATTAAGACATTATGGATTGAAATGATAGAAAGACAAGCAAATGTAAATGAACATAAAAAATTATATACATGTTACACTATTGACCATAAGAAACAGTTAAGTCAAACAAATGTATAGTTATTATGCATTTAAATTTGGGGTGTAGTTTCATGTTTCTTTAGAAATTGAAGTCAAAATAGTTCTCAGAAATCAAATATTTCTCTGACAAAGATAGAAATATTATGAGCATGTAAAGCTCGAACAAACTTTCTGATATAACTCTAGTGCAATCACTGTTTGTTTTTACTTTGACTAGAATCAAAAATGATACCTTTGTTTACAGTTTGTGTCCACAATGATAATAGCATATAAATAAATATTATCTTGTCACTTGTGCCTGGTTATATAAAAAAAGAGAATTTCTAATAAAGGAATGTACAAGTTTGTTTTGCGTATGTTAAGAACATCTTAAGCATGTAAATAAAAAGTACTGGGGAACATGGTAATTTAAAGGTATTATAAGTAGATTTCAACAATAGTAAATGAATGATTTCAAAATTTAAAAAAAAAAAAAAAAAAAAAATGGGTCAAAGACAGAAAAGGCCGGGTTGCATTTCTATACCAAATATCATGATGCTGTAATGTTTTGAAAAAAATTAACCACTGACCATTAATGTGGAAAATTTAACTAAGTCAGTTAACAGGAAGTGGATGAGTGAAAGACTTGAAATCGAATCCCACAGTATGAGACCATGTCAAATATCAAGAGCCTGTGATAAGTAGTTGCTAAAAAAAACTGTTACAAAAATTTCACACCATTGACCATTGATGTTGAAAATTTAACGGTAAACAGGGCGTGGTGAGCGACAGACCTGAAATCAAATCCGACGGTATGGGACCACGTCAATACTGTATACCAAATATCAAGGGGCTGAGATAAGTTGGTATGGAAGACAAAACTATGAAACTATGAACATTTGTTTACATAAATTCCATAAATAAGTTTAAGGGGGGGGGGGGGGGGGAGTAATTCTGGAAATAGTCATGCTTGTCACACAACATATGTGTAATGATAAGAAATATAAACAAGAGGGCCATGATGGCCCAAAGTCGCTCACCTGTATTTAGCCCCCCCCCCCCCCCCCCCAAGAGCGGAGCCAGTTTAAACCCCAGGGCTTTTATTTGAACAAACTTGGTTAACACCCATTAGAAGATGTTTCATGCTAAACATCTAAGGTCTAGCTTGTTGGGTTTTTTAAAAGAAGATTTTTCCAAGTTTTTTTTCTTTACACATATACATGTAGTTAAAAACAATGACACACCTGGGGCAGGACCAGTTTTGATCCCAGGGCTTTTATTTGAACAATCTTTGTAGACACTTACTAGACAATGTTTCATGCTTTAATATCTGAACTCTAGCTATTCAGGTTTTTTCGAAGAAGATTTTTAAGTTTTTTGCTATACACATATAAGGAAAATGAATGACCCCTGGGGCGGGGCCAATTTTGACCCCAGGGCTTTTATTTGAACAAACTTGGAAGACACTCACTAGAAGATGTTTCATGCTTAGTATCTTAACTCTAGCTATTTGTTTGTTTTTTTTTCTAAAAAGATCTTTTAAGTTTTTGTTATATGCATATAAGGAAAATGAATGCCCCCCGGGGCGGGGCCAATTTTGACCCCAGGGCTCTTATTTGAACGAACTTGGTAGACATCCATTAGAACATGTTTCATGCTAATTATCTTAGCTCTAGCTCTTTGCATTTTTTAAAAGAATTTTTTTTAAAGTTTTTACTATATGCATATAGGGAAAATCAATGACCCCCTGGGGCGGGGCCAATTTTGACCCCAGGGCTTTTATTTGAATAAACTTGGTAGACACCCATTAGAAGATGTTTCATGCTAAATATCTTAACTCTAGCTCTTTGGGTTCTTTAAAAGATTTTTTAAGTTTTAACTATATACATATAGGGAAAATCAATGACCCCCCAGGGCGGGGCCGATTTTAATTCTAGGAACAAAATTTGAACAAGTTTGGTTTTGGACCTATAGATGATACCATAGACCAAATATCAAAGCTCAATCTTGGTAGAGGTCTACCATACAATGTTTCATGGCAAATATCTTACCTGTAGCCTTTGCCAATTCAGAGAAGAAATTTTTTTATTTTTACTATATACATATTAGAAAAACCTATGACCCCCGGGCCGGGCCAATTTTGACACTAAGGACAAAATTTGTGCACATTTGGTATTGGACCTTCAGATGATACCATAGACCAAATATCAAAGCTCTAGGCCATTTACTTTCAGACCAGAAGATTTTTCAAGTTTTCACTATATGTATGTAATGAAAATCAATGACCCCCCGGGGTGGGGCCAATTTTGACCCTAGGGCCATTATTTGAACAATCTTGATAGAGGTCTACTACACAATGTTTCATGCCAAATATCTACTCTGTAGCCTTTGCCAAATCAGAGAAGAAGATTTTTTTTAGATTTTACTATATACATATAAAGAAAAACCTATGACCCCCGGGGCGGGGCCAATTTTGACACTAGGGACAAAATTTGAACCACTTTGGTAGAGGACCCATAGATGATACCATATACCAAAAATCAAAGCTCTGGCCCATGTACTTTCAGACAAGTAGATTTTTTGATTTTGTGTTTTTTGAAATCCTTTTTCTGGCCCTATGACCTACATATGCAACAGACCGGAACCATTTGAACAACTTTGAAAGGGACCACCCAAGGATCATTTCTGTAAAGTTTGGTTGATGTGCAGTTATTGGTTTCAGAGGAGATGTTGTTTATGTTAAAAATGTTAAAAGTTGACGACGCACGACGGACGACGGACACAGGGCCATCACAATAGCTCACCCTGAGCATTGCTCAGGTGAGCTAAAAAGTAAATTAAATTACTTATAATATTTCTTTAAAAAAATCCTAAGTTCAAATGGATATTAACCTGAAAATATTGCTTTAAGAGTTATGAACCTAGTCACATAAGATGTAACTGAAGAAGCAAGAGGTAGATGCCTTTGAAACTAAAGAAGTCATAGTAAAAAATAATATTTTTCAAGTAAAAAAAATCTAAGTTCATGGGGAGGTAATTCTTGCAATATTGGTGCTAGCGTAAAACTAAACAACCTTGTCACATAACATTTGGTTAATGATAAGGATAATATATTTGAAATATGAAGTTGATCCCTTAAGAAATAAATAAAGTAACAGTAAATAATAGCTGTCGGTAGGACAGCAACGCTCTACCATTCTAAGTGCTTGATAGAAAAAGAGCCTTGATAATGTAAAATGTTAACAAAAGGGCCACATTTTCCTTTAAATCCATGTTACTGTTATAGGGCCAAATTTTCCTTTCAATCCATGTTACTGTTATAGGCCTTGAAGAGAGTCCTATTATGCTCTCAAAGAAGAGTATATAAATTTCAACTTGTTCCTAGCCAGATGTCAATAGTATATGAAAATATCTGAGGTGGTATGCAAACTTTAATTAAATAACATAAAATCTAAGTCTAAAAATATTTGAGGTATTACAAAAACTTAACGTAAATTCTAAGTTGAAAAAGGGCATAATTCTGTCAAAATGCTTGATCCAGTTATCTCCTCCTGTCTACATGTTGGGGGTAATGATGGTGAACAAGTGTGCAAAGTTTCAAAGCCATATGTCAATGGACTTTGATATTCGAGATATTACAAAAACTTTTACATAAGTTATTACACCTACACTGACACAGACGCGCGACACCAACACTGACGCACTGGTGACTACAATAGCTCTACTTATTTATCGAATAGTCGAGCTAAAAATAACTTTTTTTAGGAAAATTCTATCTTCAAGAGGAGATAAACTTGAAAAATATTGGTGCTAGAGTAATGAACCTTGTCACATAAGATGTGGTTGATGATAAGGAACATATATTTGAAGTATGAAGTTGATCCCTTAAGAAATATGGAAGTAATGATAGAAAATAATATTTTTTAAGGAAAATTCTAAGTTCAAGGGGGAGATAAATCTGAAAATAGTGGTGCTAGAGTTATGAACCTTGTCACATAAGATGTGGTTGATGATATGGAAAACCAAAACTTTAATCTAAATAAGGACGCGGACGCCGGGGCAAGAAGGACGGCTCTCCATATACTTTGTATAGTCTAGCTAAAAATGAACTAGAACTCCGCGAGTCGGATGTGTCGCCTTGTGAACAATGTAGTTTAGGAGAAATGGCCAGGACAAAAAATGAAATATGAAAAATAACAAAGGGCAATAACTGAAAAAATAATAAGTGCAGAGCAGCAGTTTCTGTGCACTGCACTTCTTATCAATAAGATCTATCATTCTATGATGTTTCAAGTCCATAGCTTTCATACTTGAGGAGAAATGACCAGGACAAAAATAAAGTAAGAAAGTCAACAAAGGGCAATAACTCAAAAAATAAGAAATGCAGAGTATCAGTTCTTATGCACTGCACTTTTTCTTAATGAGATCTATCATCCTATGAAGTTTCAAGTCCATAACTTTTATACTTTCGGAGAAATGGCCTGGACAAAAATTAAGTATGAAAATTAACAAAGGGCCATAACTCAAAAATTAAGAAATGCAGAGTACCGATTCTTATGCACTGCACTTCTTCTTAATGAGATCTATCATCCTATGAAGTTTCAAGTCCATAGCTTTTATACTTAAAGAGAAATGACCCGGACAAAATTAGAGTATGAAAATAAACAAAGGGCAATAACTCAAGAAATAAGAAATGCAGAGTATCAGTTCTTATGCACTGCACTTTTTCTTAATGAGACCTATCATCCTATGAAGTTTCAAGTCCATGGCTTTGATACATTAGGAGAAATGGCCCGGACAAAAATAAAGTATGAAAATTAACAAAGGGCAATAACTCAAAAATGAGGTAAGTTGCAGAGTACCGGTTCTTGTGCACTGCACTTCTTCTTAATGAGATCTATCATCCTATGAAGTTTCAAGTCCATAGCTTTTTTAGTTGAAGAGAAATGGCCCGGACAAAATTAAAGTATGAAAATTAACAAAGGGCAATAACTCAAACAAGAGCTGTCGGTAGGACAGCATGCTCGGACTATTCTTAAGTGCTTGATAGTAAAAAAATGCCTGATACAGTTACCTCCTCCTGTTTACAGGTTTGGGGTCATGATGGTGAACAAGTGTGCAAAGTTTCAAAAGCCATATGTCAATGGACTTTGAAAATATTTGAACTATTACAAAAACTTTAACGTAAATTCTAAGTCGAAAAAGGGGCATAATTCTGTCAAAATGCTTGATAGAGTTACCTCCTCCTGTTTACAGGTTGGGGTCATGATGTTGAACAAGTGTGCAAAGTTTCAAAGCCATATGTCAATGGACTTTGAAAATATTTGAACTATTACAAAAACTTTAACGTAAATTCTAAGTCGAAAAAAGGGGCATAATTCTGTCAAAATGCTTAATAGAGTTACCTCCTGCTGTCTACAGGTTGAGGTCATGATGTTGAACAAGTGTGCAAAGTTTTTCAAAGCCATATGTCTATGGACTTTGAAAATATTTGAACTATTACAAAAACTTTAACGTAAATTCTAAGTCGAAAAAAAGGGCATAATTCTGTCAAAATGCTTGATAGAGTTACCTTCCTCCTGTCTACAGGTTGGGGTCATGATGTGGAACAAGGTGTGCAAAGTTTTTTCAAAGCCCCCCATATGTCAATGGACTTTTTTGAAAATATTTGAACTATTACAAAAAAAACTTTAACGTAAAATTCTAAGTCGAAAAAGGGGCATAATTCTGTCAAAATACTTGATAGAGTTACCTCCTCCTGTCTACAGGTTGGGGTTATGCTGATGGTGAACAAGTGTGCAAAGTTTCAAAACCATATGTCAATGGACTTTGAAAATATTTGAAACTATTACAAAAAACTTTAACGTAAATTTTAAGTTCGAAAAAAGGGGCATAATTTTGTCAAAATGCTTGATAGAGTTACCTCCTCCTGTTCTACAGGTTGGGGTCATGATGGTGAACAAGTGTGCCAAAGTTTCAAAGCCATATGTCAATGGACTTTGAAAAATATTTTGAAACTATTACAAAAACTTTAACATAAGTGGTTACGCCGACGCCCCACGCCGACGCCTCGGGTGACTGCCCAATAGCTCTACTTATTCTTATCGAATAGTCGAGCTAAAAATAAGAACTGCAGGAGTTACCGGGTCCTTGTGCACTGGGCACTTCGGGTTATTGAAAGAAGCATGCATACCAAGTTTGAAGTCAATCAGACTTATAGTGACTGAGTTATTGCTCCGGACAAGCTTTAGGGGGACGCCGACAACGGACGCCCGCCGACACAGACGCCGCCGACAAAAAGTAACCCCTATAATGTCACCTTTTTTCAAGGCGACACAAAAATAAGAAAGTGTTTTTATGCAGTAAACATTAATATAAATATAAAAAAGTGATATGGCACTTTTTGTACTAAGAAGCGAGGAATGTTATTTTATCTTTTCTTGCATTCTAAATCTATAGTAAATGATATTTTTACCTTACTTTCTTGCCTATTTAAATGTATGGTATTGTAACCTAACAAATATTGCTTTAGCAATGATGTTCCCAGGGTTTCACGTGTTGGTTTAACACAAAATATCCATACATATATCTAATTTCTATTATAATACATATATTACATTAAACTTTTTACAACATTACCATTAGACAGGATTAATTTTGACCCCCAGTTACACTACTGAAGTTTTCCAGATTGTATAGTAAATGATAAGCAGACTGGAAATCTATACACCCGGACAATCTATTTTCCTTTTCTTCGAATTTTTCCATGAATATGTGACCATAAGGCTTGGAAATTTTTTAACAACATAGCAATATTCTGTTTCTTCTGCTTAACTTCAGCTAGAAACTTTTTAAAAGGAAGTTTTTCACATATTTCCAATACAATTTAGGTGAAAACATGTAGGTCCATTGGCATTCAGGGGCTTCCATTAAGATCCAAAAAAATTTGGAAGTCAAAGACTGCAAAATGTCTTGACATTGGAAGTCACAAAAATATTGGTAAAGAAGAAAAAAAGCATTACATTTTTGGAAGTCATAAGCCAAATTCAAGGAGTGAAATGACTCCCAAAACTTCCATTAATGGAAGCCCTGCCATTACTATGAAAATGGTTAGCCTTGATGTTCATTTACAAAAAGTGTTTTATACCTTGATCATTCAAACAAAAAGTTTCTCCAAAAATTAAAAAAAAAACTTGTGTATTTCTCTTCTAAACAAAACAACTTTGCCACATTTTCAACATCTTACAGTTCACATATATTCGGTCTTACATGTCCACAGATATATATACAATGGAGTTAGGAAGCTCAGAAAGTAGTTGATAGTCAGATTCAGATCCACAGTGCGTTTCGGTGCATAAGAGGGTTTTCCCACTAGTCCCCCGATTCTCGCACTCTCGTTTAAACTTCGGCTATATCCATGAACTACTGCCGACATTGCTTTATTTTTTTTTTTGAGAAATATCTGTGTGGAAAAGTGTGTATGGTACGTTTTAACATATTAAAATAACTTTGCTTCTTATGTAAGTAGAAAAAATGCTTCGTCTTTTTTTGTCAATGTTCCTCTTGGAATTCAAATATGGCGGTATTTTGGCTACTATTACCCAGGATGCATCAAATCTTTGGAAAATCCCGAAAACACATGAAAACTTGCGTTAGAACAACCCCAATAATACTGAATTTAACTGTATGACGTCTAAGTTACTTCTCCATCTATATAAGCTCCATGGACATGTCCAATCAATCAGTAAAAATCAATAAGTTGATGATCATTAGAACATTCAATCAACAATCATCAATTCAGAGAATGAATCATCGAGTCAATGAAATCGAGGAAATCTCAAACACTCTTGAAATTAAACAAATTACATCAACATAAAAATTAGATTTTAAATCAATTTCCTATGTCTGAAAATGCATAATTATCATTTAAATAAAAAAACCTCCAAATTTATGGTCAATTACAATTAACCCATTAACACTTCTATATGATCTACGTAAATAACAGAGGTATATTCAAAGTGAAAAAAATACGAGTTGCTTCCCTTATCTTTGAGTAAAATTGATATCTCTTATGCTTATAAACAAAACTGCTAGTTTGTTCTGATTAAATGTCCAATTTTTAAAATGTATTACACCAATTAGCAAACGTTGGATCTTAGCTTTGTCACAGTATATTCTTCAACACATCTTTTGACTCCACAAAGTATTCAAATGAACAGTTAAACCTACCACATGTCAGACCATTTTACATTACGATTTATACAGTGAGAAAACAACCAGTTATCTTTATTCCTAAAACTACTGATTAAGAAAAGCCTCTCGTCTGCTAGTTCTGAAAGTGTTTATCGGTGTATTAAATATTTACAACACACTGAACAGCTTACTTAACCTGTAGGTATATTAACATATAATATAGCTATATGCTTTCTATTGGCCGCCACAATCATAAGTTCATTAAATGAAGTTATTATAAATACATCATAATCATAAATAAATTCTAAACTCACCAGTTCGTGGAAATTGAATTGTACCAATAATAGCATTATCTTCTTCAAAACACGCATTACTGTCAAACTCTCTCTCTCTGCTGTAACTTCTGCAAAATATAATAAACACAGTGTGCCAAAGTGATATGAATAAAATGTGAGATTAAGTAAACAGAGAGCTTATAGATTAACGGATTTTCTGAAAACATTCTCAAAGGTTCCAAATCACGAAAACTGATGACATTTCAAATCAGACCACACTCATTACTTAATTAAAAAATCATCTATGACATACACTCTCTAAAACAAATGCAACTCAAAATAATACTGACCAACTATCAATAATCCATATTTCCAATAAATTAGGAACACTTCGAAACTTTTTACAAAAACAAAAGCCGCTTAAACATAGGGCAAAACTACTGATCAATATTGCGGGAAAACCAAGGGAAACAACTCAAACAACAAAAAATATATCAAGGACACCTGAATTATCAACACTGTTACACATCATGAAATCCAAATAAGAATTCCAAAACAGATTACATTTAAGTTCAAATAATATGGTAAGTTTTCTGTACCTACTTTTAGAAAATGATGAGATCAGCTTTCACATACAAAAAATAGCGTCGAAAACTTTTGTTTTGGTACGAACTACTTCCTTACTCAAATTTAACTGCGAATGAATTACTAATGATATTTTTTACTGATTATATCCTGAAAACATGCAAATAATATACGATAGAAATAACACAATCAAAAATTGAACTACTGGACAATTCCAAAATCTTATCACTTGTGTGTGACAAAGAAAATCTGTGTAGAAACTACTTTGCGTTGTTAGGTACCCGTTCCCTTATATTGAAATAAAACGCAAATTGTGTTTAGAACTGTATTCACTGCTAACGGCAGCGAATACAATAAAAACTTTAAATCAATTCCTGTGATCCAGTCAATGCCAAAACCAAATGAGTGTATTGCCCCTGACAGGGTTTTGAACCCACACAGACATCAACCCCCTCTAAAGATTACTGCGTCTGACATGTCCCAACAAAGTTCCACCACACAGGGTAGGTTTTGTTTACAGCAATAACCCAGGTTTTTGAATTTTTAAAAAAAAATTGTATTCACCTGGGCATTATTGGATGGGAACAGTTAAATAAAGCAATATAAATTTATTACCAAAAACTACATTAAGGTAATAAATGGTTACACCTAGGTAAAAAATGTTACTAATATAGACCAAGTTACCTTAGGGTTAGCACCCTCCGTTTGAACACATGTTTATCTTCAACAAACGGTTATATTTTTGCTGGACTTATATCCTCGTCAGGTTGAGATAGGTCTCTTGAACTTTGGAACACATCAACTTCATCTGTGGTATTGTTAAAAAAAATGTTTTTTACAAAATTAGTAATGACATGTACATTTTGCGTTTAATTGTAAATCATGTATATCCCCTGTGTTTGCTCTGTTAAGAAGTAGCACAACTATTATGCCATATCCAAAAATAAAGAAAAACATTTAAATGTGTAATAATGGTGCCTACACAATGTGACTTTTTGTGATCGGCATGGGGCAAAAAAATAATAATACAAAAGATGGTCAAGATTTTGTTTTCTGCCATAACTTTTTAAATATTTCATTTATTTTTATGGGATAAAATGTAGAGCCCACTAATAATAATAGTAGTGAGGAACACAATTTATTACTTACATAGAATGATTCCTAGGGGGAAAAATATTTTGTTTTGTACCAAATGTTTGTTTTTTATATAACTACTACCCTAAAAAAGCACTGTTCCAAATAGAAAAAAGACATTAAAATTCCCAATTTCCAATGTTTAAATTCCCAAAATGGCTGTTCAAAATTCATGCAAAGCCAAGAGCTCTGAAATCATTTAAATCCAACAAATTCATTTAAATCACCACTCAATAGTTATCACTGGACAGTGGAAGCTGTAAGCTGTCTTTATGTATGATGGCTAATCTTAATTGTACCTGAAAAAATGTATAATAAAATTCCCAATTCAAGTCAAAATAACGCATTTTTCCCCTTATCAGTCTGGTACAGGCACCATTCCCAAACCAGAAAAAAAACAAGATGCGTCACAATGCGACGAAAACCAGGTTTTCAACGACAAAGTTTTGATGTGACAGCAATCAATAGGTCAAAAAGCACTGAAGTTATTGAGTAGAAACTGAAAATTCTATTATAAGCAAATGACCTTGAACTTGCTCCCAGATATCTGGTGGCAATCCAAAGCTGCCACTCGGCAAGTTTGTGTGTCAAAAGGTTCAAAGCAAACTGAAGTGATAACATGAAAAACTAAATACATGTACATTAACCTTGATCACAGACACCTGGTAGCAATCCCAAGCTGCATCTTGATATAAGCTACCCATTCATCAAGTTTGGTGTCATTAGGCCAAAGCAAACTCAAGTTTATTGAGCGTAAACTGAATTTTCTATTTTAGTAACAGTGACCTTGACCTTGATCACAGACACCTGGGATAGCAATCCCAAGCTGCCTCTTGATATAACCTATCCAATTCACCAAGTTTGGTGTCAATAGGCCAAAGCAAACTCAAGTTACGGAGCAGAAACAGTGACCTGTGACCTTGATAACAGACACCTGGGTAGCAATCCCAAGCTGCCTCTTGATAAAGCTATCCATTACACCAAGTTAGGATGTCAATAGGCCAAAGCAAACTCAAGTTATTGAGCGGGAAACTGAATTTCTATTTTAGTAACAGTGACCTTGACCTTGATAACAGGGACACCTGGATAGCAATCCCCAAGCTGCCTCTTGATATAAGCTATCCATACACCAAGTTTGGTGTCAATAAGCCAAAGCAAAACTTAAGTTATAGAGCAGCAACTGAATTTCTATATTTTAGTAAACAGTGGACCTTGACCTTGATCACAGACACCTTGGTAGCAAACCCAAGCTGCCTCTTTGATATAAGCTATCCATACACCAAGTTTGGTGTCAATAGGCCAAAGCAAACTCAAGTTATTCAGCGTAAACTGAATTTCTATTTTTAGTAACAGTGACCTTGATCACAGACATATGGGTAGCAATCCCAAGCTGCCTCTTGATATAAGCTATCCATACACCAAGTTTGTGTCAATAGGTCAAAGCAAACTCAAGTTATTGAGCGTAAACTGAATTTCTATTTTTAGTAACAGTGACCTTGACCTTGATCAACAGTCACCTGGGTAGCAATCCCAAGCTGCCTCTTGATATAAGCTATCCATACACCAAGTTTGGTGTCAATAGGCCAAAGCAAACTTAAGTTATTGAGCAGAAACTGAATTTCTATTTTTAGTAACAGTGACCTTGACCTTAATCACAGACACCTGGGTAGCAATCCCAAGCTGCATCTTGATATAAGCTATCCATACACCAAGTTTGGTGTCAATAGGTCAAAGCCAACTCAAGTTATTGAGCGCAGAAACTGAATTTCTATTTTTAGTAACAGTGACCTTGACCTTGATCACAGACACCTGGGTAGCAATCCCAAGCTGCATCTTGATATAAGCTATCCATACACCAAGTTTGGTGTCAATAGGTCAAAGCCAACTCAAGTTATTGAGCAGAAACTGAATTTCTATTTTTAGTAACAGTGACCTTGACCTTGATTACAGACACCTGGGTAGCAATCCCAAGCTGCCTCTTGATATAAGCTATACATACACGAAAGTTTGGTGTCAATAGGCCAAAGCAAACTTAAGTTATTGAGCGGAAACTGAATTTCTATTTTTAGTAACAGTGACCTTGACCTTGATCACAGACACCTGGGTAGCAATCCCAAGCTGCCTCTTGATATAAGCTACCTACACACCAAGTTTGGTGTCAATAGGCCAAAGCAAACTAAAGTTATTGAGCGGAAACCAAAAGTTGACGCCCGCCCGCCCGCCGCCGACTTGGGCATTACAATAACCCGGTTTTCGCTGAAAACCTGGTTAAAAACGCTGTGTACAGTGAAATCCAATCCTGTGATATCTGTTTGTTCAAATATGTGGTTTCACATTCCTTTTAAAAAATTCTGATTAACGGTATGTTTTTCCTAAAACATTTTATGTATGTGTTACTCACTAAATGAGCATAATCTGAATACTTTATTAACTTAATATTTTAACATAAGCTTATTGCACTTTTCACATAATTCTAACATAATTCTAACATAATGTTAACATAGGTTTATCACATTTTCTTCACAGAATGTTAACATAAAAGAATGATACAAGTTTATACCATTGAGTACATCGGAGAAGATTTGTTTGACACCTCCGATATGGTCGTGATGCCAGTGTGTTAAAACTATCTCCTGTATTGAAGAGCTACTGTCTGTGAGAGCTTTCTGTAATCCTTTAATATACTCAGAATTACCAGGACTCCCTGTGTCTACAAGAATTCTCCTGTAATATAAAATAAAATAAATTTTTTTAAAGATATACTATGCTCAAATTTGATATAAGACAATATTGATAATTGATTATTCATGTTTAACTACCCGGTAGTTATTTTAAAAACAAATAGAAGACTGAAAATCGACACAAAACCAGGTTTGCCTGACAATATTACAAATATCGAAAACAACAAGGGCCATAATTCTGAAGAAAAAAAATACATAAAATGGTGATAATGTTAAATAGAGTACTTGGTGTCAATGATTCTGGGAAAGTTTGAAATTTATTCTGGGAAAGTTTGAAATTGACATTTAGAAAAACACATTGTAATGTGCAAGTTCAATGTGCATGCTTTATAAATTTTCTGTCCATGTAAAAAGTGCCTGTTTAATTTCTGTTCAGATGCATACAGATCTGCTTGTTTTATTTTTGTTCATAATACACAGTGCATGTTTAATTTCCATCAAGGATGAAGGTGATATAATATGTAATTATTTAAATCCTTTTCTTAATATATTAAAATTATGTAACACTATCTCAATACCTTACCAACAACAAAATCACATCAAATCTTAAATGGACAACTGTATCATAGTTGTGGACCTTTCTGTTGAAAATGTGTCAGAGTTAAATCGTATACATATACATATACATCCACAGTGCATTAACTGGAGTGCAGGTATTTAGTTACCCCGATCCAGAGCATGCCCATTGATTGGCTCACTTTTGCTGGGGTTTACTTATTGTGACGGCAGAGAAAGGGAAAGCGACAGAAATATTATATTCAGATGCTCGTTCATTGGTTACTTTTTTCTGCGGTATCATATTGAGACAACAAGGAACATGTTTTTATGTTTGACTATGATACAAAAAAGAAAGAACATCAAAACACTCGGCAATCTGATTAATACCTGTACAAATCAGATAGCCTCATGTTTCGATGCTCTTTCTATTACATATGTATTAGCCAGATATAATATTAGCCATAAATCAAGATGTTACAAGCTGTATATCCAAATAAATAGTTCATTTGTTTCAGCTACAAACAATCATTAGTAAAATGCATTTAATAGTAAATACCAGTCCCAGTGTGTTAATTTTCTATTTTCACCGTCTATCAAATCATTTTGTTGCATATTCATAATTCATAAAAATATGGTCATCAGATTCTGGAATACCAATGGAATTTTAACTGGCATCCCACCTTAAGTTCTACAATTATTTTGGTGAAATTTCACTGGATGTTCCATACTTAAATATCCAAGCTATAAAAATTGGGGTTCAAGAAAAGAAAATATTAAGGTTTTTGAAGTTTTAACTTTAATTATAAAGTTACAGAAAAACAATGGCCCCAGAGCAGGCTAATGTTGACCCCATGGCCATAATTTTAACATATTTTTAGGAAGTTTTTTTAGATGATAATCATGCCAAATATTTAGGCTCTAGCCTTTTGGCTTTCAGAGAAGAACAATTTCCAAGGTTTACTACATGTAAATTATACATATAAAGTAAATCCCATGACTCCTGGGGCAGAGCCAATTTTGAGCCCAAGATTATAATTTTAAATGTTTGGTTGAGATCCATTAATTTTGTTTCATGCTGAATATCTCAGCTCTAGCACATAGGGTTCCAGAAACAATAATTTCGCAAGTTTTTACTAGAGCTGTCATTGATAGAAATTTTTGTATCGATGTATCGAAGGGTTAATATCGACGATACATTGATATATCGAAACTTTATTTTAGATATGCAAACAGTCCAAACACACTTGAATAAATGATTCAAAATGTCTCTTTTTATTAAAATTTTGTTATAACTCAATATTTAAATAAAATATACAACAAAACCAGATGAAACTGAGTTCTCTTGTTATTTTTAATCCTGAAAAAAAATTTATGATGAAGAATTATTTATAACTCACGGGAACTGAACTCACCACAGACACGGATCAATACTTTCGGTCAATTTGTGACCTTATAATTTATTTGTGGTATTGCCTCTGTATGGCATAATAATATGGTAAACTTTACAAACTACTTTCGACTCAAAATTATTCCCATACATTGCTCTTCTTTTTATTTTAACCTTTTTGAAACGAACTTGGCAATTTCTGGTGTATCCACCATGTTGCTGTGCAAATTATAAAGCCTGCTAATTATTTATTACCATTGTTGTCTACAGATTAAAGCAAACTAAATTTCGGAAGATACAAATGTAAACATACCGCACCACGAATTAAGTGTTTATTGCCAGAATTTTCAATTTCTAGATTTGGTAATTTTTGACCTGATGTCATTAGATTCTCGCACACGCTAACAATGTAAACATTAATGGCTGCTGTTTTGCTTTAGGTCGAAGATTAAAATTTCAGTTGCAAATGAAAAACTTGTAAGGATTTAAATTTGAAATGTTTGTATATTTTCTTCATTGCTATTTGACACTTTTATCTGAATGATTGAATGGATATTCAAAATTTTGCATCGATATCAAATCAACCCTTGAGAATCGATGATACATCGATATCGCGATTTCCGATGACGGCCCTAGTTTTTACTATAAACATATCTTTATGGAAAACCCATGACCTAACTGAGAGAGGGACAATGTTGACCCCAGGGTCACAATTTCAGCTACCCTGTAGGATTTTGTCCACTTAATGTCAATGATGTTTCATGCCAAATATCTAAGCTATTGTCTTTTGGTCTTTAAGACTTAAGGTTATTTTTACTATATATTATATACCTTATAGGAAGTCAAATTAAACCTTAAAACAAAAACTAATTTGAACCACTTTAGTAGGATTCTCTAGATGATTTTATATACCACACATCAAAGATTACAGACTTTGATAGGAGACAAACATGAATCGTTCCTGTGAATGGTATCAGAGATGTTGTATATAAACTATTGACGGGCGCCAAACAACGGTTGACAGGCAGAGAGGGGTCACAAAAGCTGTACATGTGAACACTCCCACTTTAAGCGGGAGATCCCACTTTCTTGGGCCATACTTTCAAAGATTTTCCTTAAAATAATTGGGTATTTTCCTATTTAAAAAACTCTCCCTCTTTTTAATGTCAAAACTTTCTTCTTTGTTTATTGAAAATTCTAAAATCTCCCTCTTTTTGAAGAAATATCTCCCACTTGATCATCAAAAAAGTTCACATGTATGTTAAAGTTCACTATCAGCAAACAGACAATGGGGGTAGACCCTATTCCTAGCTTGAAATGCCCTTGTAAACAGTCAATAAAAACCTTTAAAGTGGGGCATCTGTCTTAATCATAAAGATTTTTTTTTTTAAAACATTCCCATAAGAACTTATGAAATGTGTCCATAGGACACAGATGCCCCCACACTCCACTGTTTTGTCAATCTTATGACTCTAAGTCAAATATTTTTTTGGCTAAATGTGCCCCAAGTTGAAAACTAAAAATCTTTTACTAAGTAAAGGGCAAGAACTTTACAAATACTAAATAAATTTAATCCACAAGCAAACCCCAAGGTGCATAAGTACATGTGCTGACCAACATTCTGCTACAGGTCAAATAGTTTTTTGCGCTATGCATGACAAGTTGAAAATTGAAAATTTATACTAAGTCAAGGGCAATAACTCAACAAAACTGAAAAAATCCACATGCAAAACCTTAGATGCATAGCTTCGCAGTGACGTTGATCATTATTCCTGTAAAGTTGGTTTATTCTAACTCAAGCACTCATAGACACATAACACAACACAATGGAACAGTTTTTACTAAGTCAAGGGCAATAACTCTTAAAAATACTTGATAAATCCACAAGCAAGATCCCATGTGCACAACTACACATGCTGACAACATTCCTCTTAAGTTTCATGACTCTAGGTTAAATACTTTTTTGGACCTTATTATACCAAAATTATTTTGATACTTATGATATACTAAAATAGACCTAAAATATTGAATTGAACTAAAATAGACCTTAAATTTAATAAAAATAAATTAAAAAGGGGGAATTCACATTTTTGTCAATGACTTAAAACTCAGTACTTTAAGTTCTATCATTTCAGTTATCTTATCTTCTTTATTGTTGTTTTGAATTAGGGTGTTTTACTATTCTTTAATCAATATGTGCAATTATCACATTATTTCACTTAAAGAAAAAAATATTTTTGATTAAAATAACACTTTCATATAACTACTTATTTAATCTTTTGTAAACCTGGACTCAATTGGCAATTTTAATTTATTAAAGCATATCAATCTTGTGACAACAATTTACTTTGAATTACGTGTTTTTTTTGTTAATTTTAACAATGGGATAAAAAAATTGTTAAATTATTTAATGCTAGTATAGTGTTTTTGGGATATATGTCAAAAATTTTAATGGCCATTGAAATCAGAAATATCTTTAAATTAAATTAGAAGCATTTGGACTTTTTCAATATTTGTCATGTATAATCATTTTTTTTAACTAAAATTCATTATTATATAAACAAAACTTATGGAGAAGTTTCTGTGTTTAAATTGGCTGTTGTCAAAAAATATTTTAATGGTCCAATAAACAATTGATTAGTAAACTGTAATGCTTAAGTGCAGTGTTTATACAACTGATTTAATGGTGGTGTTAAACTGTTAGTTGATTGTCTCAGTGTTTATACAACTAATTAGGCGATGAGATAACACCACAGTTACTTAAGTTTGTTTAATTGCTACTGTTTAATAAATTGATAAAGAAAATAATTTTAAAAAATAATTTATTTTATACACATATTTCACATTTCATTGTTTAAGACTTACAAAAAGTAATCATTATATAGTCAATAAATTTAATATATTGATATTTTTTTTATTATTTGAATAATATTAATTACTTTACTGTACTGGTAGTGATTTCAATATTTAAATTGATACTTATGTCTTTGTTGTTCTTTCTATGTTATTTTTTTTAATTTACTATAAATAAAATTTTCTCATATATGTTGTTACACTTCTAATAAAAGTGATATTTCAGAAATTTGTCTTTCATATACACCTCTTATCACTAAACTCATAATTAAATGAGTAATCTTCTAATAATTTGTATAAACAATACCATTGAAATCAATAAAATGAAACATTAAAATGAATTTATTTTTATACCGTTTGATATTAATGAAATTAAAATTTGTTAACTTTCCTTGTAAACATCTCTAAAAATTGGGAGTGAAACGTCCATACAATTGACAAAATGGGAGTGAAACGTCTAGGAGTGAACCGTCTTGGGAGTGAAACGTCTTGGGAGTGAAACGTCTGACATTCGTCTATTTAAATAGGTACGTGAGACCTACTTTTTGCCCCCCAATATTTACTAATAAAACATAACATATCTTAATATTGTCATACCGTTTGCCGCTTCCAATAAGATATGTATTAGTCCCTTGCAGAGTGTGAAGCCCTGGATTGCATCCTAATATTCGTATTATTCGCTCTGACAGTTTTTCAACAGCTGCTAACGGAGTCAATTTCTGTACGCTTGAAGCCATTTTGTTTGATCACGTGACAGTCACGTGATTTTTGAGTTTTGGGATTAGAGGCTTTATTATCTTAATAATCTAATAATGAGATATTTCTTTATACATGAAATTTTTCCTAACTCAATATTTGTTTAAGCTATCTAAATTAGAAAATAAGAATAAAAGCAGACAATTACTTCAGTTGTAATTTTACATTTTGTATTTGAGATTTATATAAAATACATTTCCGGTTGTTTAGAGAAGAGAAATGAAGAAATAAAGAAAAATTACCGTTTGATTTCTTAGTGTTTCTGCTGCACTTAAGCTTCTTATTCTGTTTAATAAATGAAGAACAAAAGTCAAAATTATGTCAAATCAAAGGTATATTTTCCCTTGATTATTACATCAATAGAAAAAACTTTCTTGACAAATCTTCATTCTTTCAGAACGTCACGTCTTGGGGTCTTGATTCTTTTTCATGTTAACATTTTGATCAACAGATTAATTTATGTATTTTAAGGTGGCGCGATAGCTCAGTTGGTTAGACCACTGATTATCACTCCTGAGGTCCCGGGTTCGATCCTGGGTTATAACCTTGGGATTTTTCAGAGACACTTTCAGTGTTTCCCACCTAACTAGAGGTGTACTGGTAAGAAATCCAGGTAATCCTCGCATGTATCAGTGCTATACACTGGGCATGTAAAAGAACCAAGGGGTCTATTCAATAAGAGCTAGGGGCTGGTTCCCGGATTCCCTTGTATCTCATAACTGTCTCTTAAAAATGTATACAATGTATACCTGCTTAGAGTGATCGTAAACGATTTTAAAGCAGTATGGTGTAGAACTTTTATACAATAAGATTAGGAGATTGCTTGCCGTACTGCGTGGTACTGTAGCTTTAGGCTAGCAAAATGCGAAGCATTTTCCTTGTTAAGGACAAAATTTATTTACCTCACATTTTAACTTTCAAACTCTTATAGTCTAGATCTATATACTTTATGATATCTGCTTAACAATCAATTCTGATTTTGACTAGCAGGCACATTATCAGGAAACTGTTAATAAAAGAAATTATTTACATGCAAAGTTAAAAGAATAAAAGTTATACAAGACTATTAATTTAAAAGACATAGTGTGCGATTGGATCTATGTATCTGATCTATCCAAGTCTGAAGACAGTAAATAATATGAAAAAGGCAAAGCCTCAAAGCGAGCTTGATTTACTTTTACTGTGAAATAGTATAAAATAATTGTTCATTTTTATTTTACATTTGGTTTTCCGTTTTAGATTAAAACTCTCATTCGCTATTTTATACACTGCTTCCATTTATTTTTTATTATGATTCCCATAGAAGTGTGCAGGAGACCAGTCTACGCATCCGTTTTCAATCAGAATTCCTCAGCTTTTGTCATTATCAGTTGTAATTTGAAAAGTTGATATGTGTCAATTTTCCACTTGTGACGAAAGTTTTCAAAACCATCACTATCTAGCTGGTACTCGCATTACCATAAAGCTCTCTTTGCAAGCAGGCCCTTCAGACTAGCTATTCAACTTGCTATAATTGATTTGTTAACAACTAAATTAAAATCAGAGTGACAAAACCCTAGTCATAAAATAAAAGTTAA